CTTTAATAAGGAGTTGCTCTTCTACTTTCCATTTATTCACATTTGGCATTTCCACTTGAGAACACCATTGTGTTTGACTGAAGAATTTGGAGATAAATAATGAAAGGGAACCTAAATCGTATAGGCCTTACTATTATTTAGCATTGAAACGGATTTAAAATACAGCTTTCCATTTTTCCAGAGTCAGTGAAGTAAACCAATATTCCAATTCATTTTGACATATAGGCTCCCTCTTTGTATTTTATTTATTTAGGGAATTTATCTAGCCACCCATCTTAGGCAAGCAAAAGTCTTCTAGAAAATAAATTTTTAAAAGAGGAAAAGAAAAAAAAAGCCTGTGTATACTATTCATATTCAACAGACAATTCTTTTAAAATGTCTGTTCTTAACACAAATGGAATACAAAATATTGTCAACTGCTCCACCTATTGACATCTTAGTAGAATGAGAATATTAAATATATATCTCTATATCTATATCTATCTACACACACAAACACGTGTGTCATTATGCATTTTCTGTATTTTACATCCACCGTGTTGAAAACTATGGATATCCAGGAAGTCAAAAAAGCCAAGAATGAAATACATAAAAACGTAAAAAAAGTTGCAGTTTTGAACCGGTAACCATGAACCTCGATTTGATTTTTTAAACACTCTCCTCAATGGAAAGCTCTGCTGGAAACTTATGAAGAATCATTATAAAATGAAACAATCATTATATGATTTGACATAATCACAAATCAATTGAATTGAGTGTGCGTTTAATAACTGAAGCGTGTTATGATGAAATAATTTTAAATGTGTTCTTTTTCAGCGTCTAGATTTAGTTAACTGGCATGGAAAACAAAACCTCATATTCACCTTCAGAAAACCTAGTGCCTGTTGCTATTGTGAAAAGTAAGATACGTTCTTACTTTTACATCTACAATTTACATCTACAATTTAAAATATTATTGCTACGTTATAAGTATTAAAATGGCAAATACTTCTATAAAATGTATGTAAAAAGGAAGAAAGAAACCCAATGCACAAACACACACACACAATACGTAGAAAAAATTAAAAGAGCAAACCTGCACCGATTATAAATGATATGTAAGAATGGAACTTTAAATTATATTGATAAATGCAGAAGCTGAAAGACTGCATAATCTTCAAGAAACTAATGATTAGTTATACCAGGTTGTTACATAACCTACTGAATAAATGCATGTAGGCCCTATTTAACGTCTGTTTGAAGTTACAACAAAGATACATAAGAAACTTTGCAACCAGTCCTTGAATTTAGGACCTTTGCGGGTCTGTAAGGCAAAAGAAAACTGCAATAAGGTCATAAGCACCATCACACTTTCACTTAGCAACTGCTTCACTTAATGACCAGTCCCACTTGCGGTTGTTATATGAAGATTACCTGTACTTTAATGTAAGAATTATTTAAAACTTCTTCCACAATTCTTATTACAGCTGTTTTACTTTTTCCTCCATTTTTAAATTTATCACTTTTGTCTGTCAGTACATTTTGGACAACTCTAAATAAAATCCCTTGAAAGGGACTAGGAAGACTGCTCTAAGCAATCTATTCTTCAGTTGTATTTCCTAATTTTATTTTTATGTCTGAGGCAGGTAATTACAAGCCACGTGGCCTAAACTTTCTAAATAAAGTCACAATCAATAAAAAAGCATCTATACTAACAAAGAACTTAAAAACTTTCAGCAGCTGTTGGCTACCCTGGAAGGATTGACAGTGTGGTGTCATTTGTATGTTTATTTGCCAATTAAGAAATGTATATGTATATTAATGTCTAATCTAATGAAAAGAAGGACTATGGGTGACATGATAGTGGTGTTCTAGTATCTAAGCTGCTGCCACAGATAAAGGGGGTCAACCTATTCCCCAAAACACCTGGAGAACAAGAAGAAATGGATGGAAACTAATCAAGAAGAGATCCAACCTAGAAATAAGGAGAAATTTCCAGAAAGTGAAAACAATTAATCAGTGGAACAGCTTGCCTTCAGAAGTTGTGGATACTCCATCATTGCAGGTTTTTAAGAAGAGATGGGACAACTATTTGTCTGAGATGTTATAGGATCTCCTGCTTCTGCAGGGGTTGGACTAGAAGACTCCAAGTTGCCAACTCTGTTATTCTGTATTCTATACATTTTTCAAAGCCCACATTCATTTTTACAAGCTCATCGAAGGAATAAGTGAGAGAGATCCTAGAAAGCATTCGTGGTTTGTAACACAAGAGTCACACATTTCTGGCAAAATGCTAAGACAGATAAACTTGTCTTGGTTAAAAGTGAGGCTACAAGTCAATTTCACAGAAGAGAAGTGGCTTTAAAATAAGATATCAGAGTTAGCCAGGAAGCCATCAAACAAGAATAAATTTCTACCTTTGCAAGGTTGGGCATTTGACCCAACTAAATGCAAGTAACATTTCTGGCCTTCTTTCTTATTTATTTCTTGTTCCTGTTCCTGTTTCTCTTTCTCTGTGTCCTATGAGATAGCAGCAACAGAAAAAAGAAGGAAGATGGCATTAAATCAGCCCCACTTCTAGTGGTCACCAAAAGCCCTAGGAGGCTTAGTTTTACCATCTTCCTCCCTTTGAATTATGGAACATCTTTACATTTTTCACATCACAGATTATTTAGTCCTTTTAAGGCAAGGCAGGCAACTGACTCCTGGAGGAAATGTGGTAGCTTCTGTGGTCTTTCTAGATTCAGAAAACTCAGAAAAATAGTACAGGTTAAAATAGCTTTAATTTTTTTTAAAGCAATACATTCACCCTCAAGCCCAATATTTGATGACTTATGCCCCCTCCCAGAACAGCTGATGGAAAGGAGGTATGACCAGTCTGGTTGTGAGAAACAATGTTGGAGCATATGAGTCCCACAAATTCCACTTCCTGCTGCTCAGCTTCCTCACCTCTTACCTACTCAGGAAGGTTTGAAAGAATACCTTTAGCAACAATTCCCTTTGCCATTCCAGGTAAGTTTCCCCCCTCCCTAACTTCAACTGTTTTACTGCATCCAAATACTAAGTAGGCTTGACCCTGCTCCAGTTACCTGCTATCCTCTCCTTAAAACTCCCACTCCTTCCTAAAAAATCTTGATCATAGGAAATGTGCAAGCCGTGACTTTACATACTCTGCCCCCATGGGCAAACCTGATCCCCTACAATCTTCATCCACTCTTCCCCTTAAATATTTGGTATACAATAGGCCAGATCTCCTTCCCTTGAATGGGACAACATGGGCAGATGCCTCCACGTATAATGGAAGTAAGTTACCCTCTGCTTGCCTTTCCAACAGAATTTCCTAGGAAATACAATCATCTACTGAAACTTGATCATGCTCATTTGAAAGGCAGCTGGGCAAGTCAAAATGAAAAAGATAAGCTAATAGATCATCAATTAGGATTGCATAAAAGTAAGGATTTTTAATGATATTTTTAACAACAGCTCCAGGGAAGCTAAATCCAAAGTTAGTGGGAATTTTTATATTTAATTAATCCCATTGTTCCAAAACCTGCCTCAAAGGTACTTCAGTTCCAAAATTTACAAGCTGCCTCCATTTCTTGATGGGAAAAAAAAAAGTGTCAAAGTTGCTGGAGGAAAAATGCAAATGAACTAGATAGAAGTCAAATTGCTGACCTTAAAAAAGCCCTGGGGATGATGGGAAAATAATCCAAAACATCTGAGTCTGTTCTGCAAGGAATTTCCCAGTAAAGCTGAAACACAAAGTTTTGCTTATAAGGAGACAGAGACATGATATGAGAGAATGTGCGGAGCTGGGAAAATAATACAATGTTGGATGTAAACAACCAAGATATGAGGCAGGAGTTTGTAGTCCAGGATGCACAATGTTCAGTGAAAAAGAGATTCACGATTTTAAAGTCTATTCCATCATAATCAACTAAGAAATAAATGGTTGCGTGCCAGCTGGAGAATTCTGGGAGGTTAAGTCCACAGGTTTGGAGACCCCTTCCCTATAGAAACCTGTGCAGTTCTTGCTTTTTTGCTTGTGCTTGTAATGTGGGTTTGATAAACTGTTTTACTTTGATATGATATTATTCAGATTAACTTTAAGAGACCAACAATTTTGGTAACAAAGGTCATAAGTACACTGAATTCTCCGAAGGTATTCATTCTGTATGAGTTCTAGTCCCGCCTTAGATGTGAAAGCTGGCTGGGTGACCTCAGACCCAGTCATTTGTCTCTGTCCAACCTACCTCGCAGAGTTGTTTGTGTGGGGAAAATAGGAAGAAGTATTTTGTATGTTTACCACCTTGAGTTATGTATAAGGTAATAAAGGCAGGATTTAAAACAACAACAACAAATAAATAAAGTATTAATCAGAGTCAGTCATATGTTGTGAGGATTGTACCATGACAGATACTTCAAGGGTCTTTCTATATTGCACTTCTGTGATAACAAATTTGATTCGATTAATAGTATGGAATTCAGCTGCATTGTGGTTGAAATTTGGGACAATGGCATTATTATTCATTTAATAAAATTTAATAAAATTTAACATCATCATATAAATTACTAGATGATGATATGATTTAAGATACACTATATATTGAATATGCACATTAAATTCCTCCCCCCAATTAAAACAAATGGATGCATTAAAATGTTTCAAAGTATCTATTAATTAAAAAAGAATTATTTAGAATCTGGAATTTGGAAATAATTTTGTTTCATTGATTTTATTGTGAGGCTTGCTGGCCCTTCCATTGCTCAACTTTTGCCAAACTAGAGCCAGAGTAATAGGACATCTAGGTCCCAGACTCCGATTTTTACCAAGATCAAAGAGTTTAACACAGGGGCATCTCTAGGCTAGCGAAAATGTACCTGAATGTAAATCCGGTTTGTTGGAAATGTAAACAAGATCAGGTACTTTCTTCCATACCTGGTGGCTTCGCCCAGAAATCAAGAAATATTGGAGGAAAATAAAAATATGGATAGTAGTAATAATAGACCAAGAAATTGAATTAGAACCAGAAATCTTTTTATTAGGCATGATCAAAGGGAACATTGGACAGGACATAAAATACTTAACACTACATATAATTACGGCGGCTAGACTGGCACTAGCACAATTGTGGAAAACAGATCGCTTGCCAACGGATCAGGAGGTAATTCAAAAAATTTATGCATGTGCAGAAATGGATAAATTAACCTTAAAATTAAAAGACAAGGAAGACTCAAAATATTTCAAAGTATGGAATAGATGGTACAAGTGGATAAATCAAAAGAAAAAAGGGTAAAGACAAAATTCAGGGAAAATCAAATGAAATAAATAAGCACCGTCAGGTAGATAGAATAGGTAATAAATCACTGTTTATATATGTGTATATATATAATTACATATATTTAGTTTGTTTGTGGTGTTGTGTATTGTATATGTAAATTTATGATTGAGAAAAATTTGTATATTTTTTGTTTTTTAATATTTTTAAACTTAATAAAGTTTGTTTTTAAAAATTAAAAAAAAAACACAGGGGCATCTAATCTTGGCAACTTTAAGACTTGTGGACTTCAACTCCCAGAATTCCTATGCTAGCTGGGGAATTCTGGGAATTGAAGTCCACAAGTCTTAAAATTGTAAAGGTTGCCTCCCCTCTGCTTAAATGTATTAGGTTATATATGATTTATACTAAAATTGTTTTAGATGTTTGTTTCTTATTTTCCCAATTATCCTTTTTAAACAGATGTTCTGAACAGAACAATAATACATCTGTCCATTTTTATAGACAATGAAGGAAAACTGAACTAGCAGCTTGCTGTTAGCAGAGATTTGAGAGGGCTGTATATGCTGATTGTATGTCTCTGTGAAAGACAGAAATCTGAATTGCTGATTACTTGCAAGAGAATCGTGTTTGATACATGGTTGGCAGAATATAAACTTTGGTTTATTAAGTTACTTGAACAAATGAGCTAGAGTTTGCCTATCACTCAAATTAAGTATATAGGAGAAAAAAGCCTGTTCTTTTCTATTAAATTCAATGTATTTTTCTATGTATACATTCAAGAAATAGATACCTTGCCCCTCAGCATTTGAAATGCTGCCACAGTGTCAGTTAAAATCTTTATTCCCTCCTCCTTCTTCAACTTGTTTTCAGAAATGACTCCCACACACATTTTATTTTATTTTGCATTTATTTTGTTGGATTTATAGCCTGCCTTTTGCATAGCAGCTCGCAGCAGTGATAGATTTAATTATCATTTAATTGTCCACATACTAAGAGGGTGCACAAAATGAAGGAACATGTTTTCTAAGATTTTTTTTTTAATGAGAAGCTTTGGTAAAAAGGTAACTGAAACAGCTACATAGGTGAACATAACTAAAAAGATACAGCTATGATTATGCTTCAGGCCAGCCCATGAATAATGATAGCTTAAAAAAAGAATTTCTACAGCCAAGATTTGATAAGCATGTTAGCCAATAATATGGCAGGCATGAGGTCCAGCCTTGTTGTTTAGAGCGATTTTGAATTTAAGGGAAAAATGATTCAGAGCTAGATCTAAGTCTTTTATTCTTACCTATTTTAATAATTAATAATTGAGTAAAATCAGCAAGTTTCCCATCCTTTTTTGGTTAAGTCTGAGCGATACAACAATTGTACCATGCTTGGATTTTTAAGCTTTTCCCCATAGTCATGTTAAAGTTTATTTGCTGGCAAAGACCAAAATAATCTGTAATATCATAGTTATGTTTTTGTGAATGGGTGCAATGTTAATTCCTTCCCACCATGTCACCATTATTTATGCAAGTGAACTTTATTAAGAATCTTTGGAATTCATAAAACATTTTATTTTATACACAAACATACAGTAGGTATCACCGCCCCTCGTAGAAATTAGCAGCATTATCAAAACCTAAAATCCACAAACTCTCCGAAAGACAAAGATTTCTGCTTAAACAACTGAGGCACAATCAACTGGGCAATTTACACTTAAGTAATTCCCATTTATCTCTGAAGGATGCGACAGATGGAAAACCTCCAACCAGATTGTGCTTTTGAATGTTTACATATAGCACTGACTTCCCCATATCATCACCAATTTATCTGCAGGTTGCAATGCGGTTTGTTTGGGGTTTTTTTTTTTTTTTGGTATATCGGGTTTTTTTGACAGCACTATATGAAACACATAAAAAGTGTAAATTATAAGCAACAATGAGGTGATCTCCCATCTCAGCTAGAAAACATGCACATTATTTTAGCATATAAGCCCAACATCCCCTTCATCAGAAACCTGTGAAAAGGTTTCTGATGAACCTTTGCATAACAGTTAAAAGAATGATTATATCCATTTAAAATATACATTCTTGGCCAATCATTGGAGCACAATTCTTAAACAAATTAACATCTTTTATACCTTCAAGTTAAATATGAATATCCAGTGTAAATCTAAGCAAAACCTGACAATATCAAATGCCCTCAAGTCTTAAAAAGAATTAGTGAATTTTTTTCATGGCCATTTTCACTTGCATTTCATATAAATATCATTAATTTGGACATTGAGTAGAAACCCTTTAAAATCATTTCAATCTGCTTTCAGGCACTATTCATGGAATATGCATAGCTATTGCTATATTCCAATAGCTTAATGCACTTTGTGATTCGCTAGATCCAAAGACAGAACATGAAAACACAGACATTATTCTTAACAAGACATGCCACTTCTTTTTTGACCACTACTTATTCACCCTTGGCATAGTTAAGAGACATACTTTATTTTAAACAAGATGATTCTTATTGCATTCTAATTACATCATAACAGTAAACATATTTTACAGAAGCTGCAGGATTTTAAATAGAAAATTGCCATTTTATTTATGTATTGGTGAGACATGAACGTCAGAATTTGATCATGAGATTGGTAGATCATGTTTACAATTTGTTATAATATTATCATTATAAACAATAAGTAGCCTTAATTTCAAATTAAGGCTCATTTTCATTCATTTCAGGGGAGTTACACTCAGTGGCGGTATTCAGCTGGTTCTATCCAGTTCGGGCGAACCGGTAGTGGTGGCGGCAGGAGGCTCCACCCACCTGCCCAGACATCATCACGTCTTGTTTTCGACACTCTGCGCATGCATGGATGGTCCCGCGCATGTGTGGAGGTGGTGCATGCACTCACATTTGCGAACCGATAGCAAAGGTAACTGAATACCACCCTTGGTTACGCTTTACATCAGAGGTTGGGAACCATGGCCCCTTTATGACTTGTGAACTTCAACTTCCAGAATTCCTGAGCCAGCATGGCTCAGGAATTCTGGGACTTCAAGTCCACAAACCAGAAAGGGACCACCGTTCCCCACCCCTGCTTTACACAGTACCAATTATTTCCACTATTTAACTTGCTGTCCAGAGATAGGAACTTCTAAAGATTTTTGCCAATCTATCAAGGATTTTCCAAAACCGGAAAATGAATAAGGAGAAGCTTAAAGTTTACTTGTCATGGTTATAACTAACTTACATATATTTATCCAGAGAGATTAGACAGGAGGATTGGAACTTCATCATTAGAAATTCATATGCAATTAATTTTCCACTGGAGAATTTGATATTTCATTATTCAAAAAATCTGTAATTGAATTATGTTTTAATGTTTTCTGGCAGGGCTAAAAAGTTTGACAATCAAACCATGAACAAGATGAAAAGTCAATCAGTATTTCTATCTGTTCATTAGAAGGGAACCAACAAACGACCACATTCTTTCTTGTATATATGCTAATTTTAGTTTCCTGATTACATTTCCTACTAAGAGATAATAATTATGGACAAAGGAAGGAATCAAAAGCCCATTCAAGAGAACCCGGTAGAGAGGAGATGTAGGATTAAGGCTTTCACAAATAGCTTCAATGACAAGACATAATGGACCACTACAATGGCCGTAGCTGCATAGCAACATCCTTAATAATATGTGCTAATTTTAGCTGGAGTTGGGTTGCCATCTGACAAGGATTGTAGATCATTTTATAGCAGCTCTAGCAATGCTCAGAAATAATTGCATCCAGCCCAAACTGCCTTTGCAGCAAAGCTCATGGCAACACTGTTAATGTCACTGCCCCCTTTTGGTGCTTCAGGATAGCTACGGCTTGCTCATGAGTCACACCTTCCAGAGACTGTCCATTAACGGCTAAAATCTGATCGCCACGCTTCAGTCTGCCATCATCTGCAGCTGCTCCCTGGAAAGAAAGAAAACAAAACAGACCAGAAACAATACACATCATCAGCCAAGCAATGTTTTGGAACTAAAATTGTAGATAACAAATTATAGTGAACATGGAGATGGCAGAGTAGCCTTAGGATGACTTTCTTCAACCGTTGGGGATATATTGGAATTACAGTTCCAACAAAATGCCTACTCAATGGGATTAATTTAGTGCTAGATCATGTGATACTAAACGGAAAGGCTAAAATGGAGGGTTTTGGGGAAAGCTTCTCCTCAGAGAAAACTTTCCCTTGTTATAGTCAAATTTATATCGTATAGCTAACTTAGCAATTTTGACATGATTATCTCCCTCACAGAAAGTGATACATTGGCATGCATGGATCTAATCACCGAGGCTCACATATACATTGTGTACTGAAACTGGGAACAGATGGTGTAAACTACCCCACAATTCTTTTATTTAAAAAGTAACAAGAACCATCAACTGTGTGAACTCAAAATGCTGATGGTCAGCCTTTCACAGGCACATCCTTCCAAATAAATCTTCTATATGGAAATCAATACTTATTTTTCTGGAAGTTGAGTCACAGCCATTGGACTTCTTTTCTTGAAGAACGTTTCAAACCAAAAAAGAAAAGAAATCCAGTTGCATTGACACAACTTCCAGACAACTCAAACTGGATGACTGAGAATCTTCATCGGCCGTACTTATTTTTATTTTTATGGAATTAAATAAACCCCTGACATAACAGGTCAACATTTTTGGACTGCCCAGATTCTACTGTTATCCTTCTTTTTCTTTTTCAAGTATTTTTTTTATTACGGACAGGACAATCACTTATCCCACATCTCATAATTTCTGTCAAGACACATCTCTATAGGAAAAGACCCTATTCCCATTTTTAATGTACATTGCATGCCATATCAAAGGTAAACATATTAATAAATGCACAATACTGTACATTATCCATTACTTGCAATAAAATAGTAAAAACATGTCCTCCAGAAGGAAGAAGCAAGAAGATATTAAAAGGCTTTTCATTATGATCTTTGTATCATGTTAATTTATTTGCTTGTCTTTGGTTCATTTGGAATTTAAGGTATTTTAAATGAACTGTATTAAATTAACATGATTTGCCCCATTAATGTTCATTGCTCATTGTGTAAATTCATTCTGAGCACAGTGTTGGGGGCATAAAGCAATATAATCAACTACAAGATCTTTGGAATACAGAGTTACAATGGCACTGGAAAAAAAGTGAATTTCAACTGGTCCTCGCACTTACGACTGCCCACAGTCAACTGATCAAAATTTGGGCACTTGGCAGCCGGCATGTATTTATAATGGTTGCAATGTCCCAGGGTCATGTGATCGCCATCTGCAACCTTTCTAGATTGTTTCCAACAAGCAAAATCACTGGGGGAGGTGGATTCGCTTAAGAACCATGTGGTTCACTTAACAACTGCAGTTGATTCGCTTAACAACTGTGGCAGAAACTTTTGTAAAATTAGATGTGACTCATTTAATCACAGAAATTGATTGCTGAACAACAGAAATGGTGTAGTTTTCTTGTAAGATCAGACTAAGTCTCTGCCTGATTTTTCATGACATAAGTAAGTAGTCCCTATCCTGTTTTATTTGAATGTTTGACAGTTCTTTTAGTGATATTTGTTTTCTTCGTAATGCCTGTTAATTTATGTAACTTGTATATTTTAATGAGTTACAGTGTGTTATTTTGTTATACTGTTTTATTATTTTACTCTTTGTATTAAGAAAGGAATATTAATTTTTCAGTGTCCTATTGGACAAGCATGCCATTTGACTCCAATTAAGAAAATCAGTAAATCAACAAAAGTAAACTGATTAGGAATATGATATATAATTTATATATTTATTTATTTTTATTTTGTTTATAAAATTTGTATGCCGCCCTATCTCCAAGGACTCAGGGCGGCTCACACAACAATCGACCAACAACTATTAAAATAAACAAATATACACAAAAAATATAAAAGTTTTTTAAAAAATTTAAAAATTTAAGATATACTACCCCATCAGTCCAGGCTGGGGGACATAAATAGCCAGGTTTTCAATTCACGGCGCAAGGTGCAAAGATCAGGGGCCAACCGGAGCCCAAGGGAAGTTGATTCCAAAGGGTGGGGGCGCTCACAGAGAAAGCTCTACTCCTGGGGGTCGCCAGACAACATTGTCTAGCGACGGCACCCTGAGTAGGCCCTCTCTGTGAGAGCGCACCGGGCGATGGGAAGTTGACGCTGGTTGCAGGTGGTCCGACAAATAGCCTGGGCCTAAGTCATGAAGGGCTTTATAGGTTAACACCAGCATCTTGAATCTCACCCGGAGGGCAACCGGCAACCAATGCAAGCCGTGCAGGAGTGGTGTAATATGGGAGTATCAGGACCCTCCCGCAACAACATATATGTTGTTTGTAGTAAAATAGTACAGGATATTTCATGCCTGAATAAATAACAACCTATGGAGTGTCAAGAGATTTCAGTGGTAAAGATTAACAATGGTATTCCCACATGCTCCTGCTCCAGTTTGAACTAATTCGTTCTGAAATTGTTTCTTAAAATTTGCACAATACTTCCACATGTAGCATGGCCTTTTAAATGAAGTTTTTAATAGTGTGGAGAATGTGGCCAATATTTAGAACATAAACAGGCCCACCACTTTGTCCCAAAAGCTGATAATTGATTTAAGGATAATATTCACCTCAATTAAACTACTGAAAAAAAATTCAAGTTGTCCCAGTTTTCTACATATTATTGTAAAACATCTAAATTTTTCTCCATGTTCCTCATCAAAAGAGTGAGTCAAATTGAATATCAGTGCAAAGGCCATTACAAAGTAAAATTTTGAAGTACCTTTGCAAAAATGGTTTTGACATATATTGGGAGGTCTCCTTGTGGGCTTCCGAAGCCTCCAACAATGCTAAAGCCCAATCCATCTGACCCTTTCTCCAACCCAATGATTTTAGGTTGAGGTACTCTGAAAAAGACAGCAAACATTCATTAATACATTCGTTACTTAATATGAGGAAAAACAGCATCACTATAGCTGGCTCATTCCATCAGAGCAATGGCTGTCTTGCACTGGTTTTGTCTATTTTATTAATGGCTCTCAAGCTTCAGATCTTTTTTTTTTTTTTTTATCTCTGGGAGCTCTTGATAGGAGATATTAAAGTCTTGAATACAAAGTATGAATTCCATAATTGATCCTCCCAGGAATTAACTATGTGCTTGCAATAATTGAGGACCCAGTTGTGGGGGCAATAAGCTGACTTTGTATAAATATACAAAAGGATGAAGGCTATTGCTTAGCACATTGTAAGCCGCCCTGAGTCTCCGGAGAAGGGCGGCATATAAATCAAATTAAAAAAATAATAATAATGCTGACAACTCCCTTCCACTCCCCAATGCTCCTCTGTCTTTATTTTCAGTGGCTAAAATAAGAAAATATAACATTTCTCATAACTGAAAACGCTACAGCTTACCGATCTCTGCAGCTATTAATACTATAAGAATTCATGAAACAAAGAATGCATAGCACTAAAACACTACAGTTCAGGAATACACACGTTTTCTAATTTGATTGAAACATTCGTTTGGTAAGGTAATTGTTTTTGGCAGGAACCTTTAGTATAATTCACCTACTTCCTTTTTTCCTGGCCAGACGCCCTTCAGATCTATTGGGGGTACAAGGAAGTCTGGAGAAGACAGAGTTAGTTACGAGAGATGTGGAATTAGATCTAAGCAGGCCGGGTGGTATCATAGGTCAGGATTAATTCCATCAAAAGGATGATGTGATAGAATGTAGTCTGGAGTCCCAGGAGGGAGGGTGTGCATTTCAGAGATGCAAAAGACAATTCAGTTCAGATAGTTTGAGAAAGAGAGTGAAAGAGAGCTACTTAATAATTCCCGGAGTATATGCTTTAGTGGGTGATGGTACTTTGCTTTAGTTTGCTCACCTATGGGTGAGTAACAGTGGAAAAAAATCTGTTTGGGAGAATCACATCATGTATTTTGGGGGGGGGGGGTTGGAGCTTGACAGATGGCAAATTGTATGGAGAAACATGCTCTGCACACAATCAAGTGGGGAGACAGCTGTGTCCTCAGTATTCCCTTCATTACTGTCTTTCTCTGTCTGTGATGGGCATAAATATTTCTGCTTGGTCCTACACAGACAGAATCATTCCACTCAGGATGCAGCAACAAGCTAGTGTTCTGCCTTGAATGGAGTGGCTTCAGCCTTCTTACCCGACTTAATAATGGTGCATGCTATTTGGGAATTACTGCGACTAGACTAAACAACTTGAGTGACATGATCATATTTCCAGTAATAAATTCCTGCAACATAGATGTAGAGATAGGAATTTATGTTTATTTAACTACAAAGATGGTAACAAGGACGATCTCCATTGGCCTTGTGCCTAAATGAAGCAACAATAAGAAACCAGAGCTCAGCAAACTGCTGTTCCTAAAACTTTGACAGGCATCTGACTAGCAGGAAACTAAGAATTGGAACAATTTTCTTTTCTGGCTAGGGAATTCTGGGAGTTGAAGTCCATAGGTCTTAAAGTTGCCAACGTTGGACACCCCTGTTCTAGACAAGAAAGCAAGCAAGAAAGTACTTGGCAAAAGATTCCCAAGTCTCTTGAAAAAAGATGTACCCTGTTTTCCCGAAAATAAGACCCAACTGGAAAATAAGTCCTAGCATGATTTTTCAGGATGGTCATGCCCCCCAAAATATGCCTCAGTTAAGATTGTCAGCCAGATGGGTGCATTTAGTACCATATTTTCCCCAAAATAAGATCTAACTAGAAAATAAGCCCTAATGCATCTTTTGGAGCAAAAATTAATATAAGACCCGGTCTTATTTTCAGGGAAACACGGTATTTCAAATGTATATATGCAAGAATTAATTCAATATATTACAGCAATATATGTCTGTATGGTGTGATTCATGAATCCAAGTGAGAAAGCATTCAACTTAATTTTTAAAAAGAAAAAGTTTGTAGAGCATTTATCAAGACAATTTTTTGGGAAGATTCCACATTTAATTTCTCTAGCAGAAGATCATCTGGAATTGCAGTTGTCATAAATCATCTCAAGCGAAAACACAACCAGACAGAAGGATAATAAACATGACAACATGTCAGTGGGGGAAAACCCACCCAACCTCAGAAGAACAGCTTGTTCTTTTGATCAGTCAAAAGAATGAAAACAAAAATCTTCCAGCAGTCTGAAAAATCCATTGTAGTATATTTTGCACTATTGGAAACATTATCTGAAATTAGAAGCTTGAAAGCAGAAATATTTACATTAACTATCAGGAGAGAGGACCGTAAAAGGTTTCTACAAATCCTACAAAATGGGCGAGAGAAATTAGAAATATAGAAAGCATGCCTGATTCCAATTTATGAACTAATAGCCATGACTTGTATTTGGACCACCATATATTCAGATGCACAGGGAGAATGATTGAGGGCTGCTTCTATGTTCAAACATCTGTCAAACTTAAGGAAAGCAGAATTACACAATTCATGTTCAATATAATTCTGCACTGGATAGAGTTTATACAGGTCTCGGCTCTGCGTAGAGTTTATATAGGACTTGAATCATATGAATAGTGGCCCACTATGCCATATACAAGGAAAAAGGCTCATCTTCAAAGTTGAGAATTTCAGCAGAAAGCTGAAATAATCTGGCAGTGTAGAAGATGCTAATGCAGACCTGCACATTTTACAGATTATGGGCAACATCTGGCCCTTAGGCTGTTCTTGTCCAGCCCGGGGCAGTGTTGGAGGGGACAGCATCAGTTGGGGTGGGGGGCAGGTCAGCACTGACAGGTGGAGGGCTGACATTGGTGGGAGCAGGGCAGAAGCCCTCCACAACAGTCCCAGTTTTTTATGTGGTCTTTGGGGAAAATTAATTGCTCACCCCTAATCTAATGTAATGCACAAAATCCAAAGGTTTCCATGCATGCATGCAAAAAAAATAATAATCAATTATACATCTATCAGTCTATCTTTAGCATTTTCGTTATTCACCATATTTTCCCATCAATATGGCACAAGCTTTATTTTGAGCATGAATCTGTTCTTTTATCTATCATATTATCAACAAATGTGTGTACTTACTCTGGGTATTCAGAATGATGTTCGGTGGGTGGAGTAAAGTTAGTGCTGGAAGTCATATTCTCTATCTGGCTGGCAATGGCACTGATGTTGGTATCAGCCACTACCTACAGTGCAAAGGAAGAAGAAACAATTATCAACAAGGCGTGACTTATTACTGTTAGAAAAATACTAGCAATGGGCTATATTTGATGGACATATTAATGAATCAACAAGAAGTTAAAGCATTGACAATGTAGCCTGCTTAAGGCTCAAGTGAAAACTGTCAGAATAATAAGTGAATCAAGAACATATTTATTCAGTTATTCCTTTAAAGAAGTGATTCAGTCACCCAAATTGGACCTGGGGGAGCAAAGGTTCAGCCTATGGGTAACTCTTTTAAGCCTCAAAGTTCATTGTTAAGTGTTAATCCACTTCTTGAAAGTTTTATCTTCAAATACAGGCAATTTATCAATTTAACTCAACTTTCCAGTTAGAATGAAATCACTGCAAAACTGCTCATATTTCCTGGTTGTTTGTTTGCTTTTAATGGCAATAATCTATCTGGGTGTGCTTGTGTGTCATTGGTAGAGAAAGCATACCAAAGTTTGAGAACTCAAAAAGCTTTTCCTTATCTCTACCAGGACTGCAAATAGCTGATTAAATTATCAGGGGGCATCCAAACAGCCAGGCTGGATCAAATATTCCCCAGAGCAGTGGTGGGTTTCAAATTTTTTTACTACCGATTCTGTGGGTGTGGCTTGGTGGGTGTGGCATGGCTTGGTGGGCGTGGCAGGGGAAGGATACTGTAAAATCTCCATGTCCACCCCACTCCAGGAGAAGGTTACTGCAAAATCCCCATTTCCTCCTGATCAACTGGGACTTGAGAAGCAGAGAATAGATGGGGGGCGGGCCAGTCAGAATTTTTACTACTGATTCTCCGAACTACTCAAAATTTCTGCTACCGATTCTTCAGAACTGGTCAGAACCTGCTGAAACCCACCTCTGCCCCAGAGATACTAATCTCTCCTTTGCAAAGAGCATTAACACAATTCTTTGTGGTCTTGCCCAAGACATCCTGACAATCAGCATTTCCACAGCCCTATCTCCAGTCATCTGGCCTTTCCTACCCATTTTACCATGAGGTCATTTTGCTGGTAATAGAATTACTTAATGATGTGTCAGTGGTGAATATCAGATTTTAAAGCATGAATTCACTTCTGTGGTATGAATTCAACTTCAGGCAAAGGGAGAGCACAGTTATTTAAACACAACATACTATTCATATTTTTATGGACATATTTGGATATTGATACAGACGGTGAGAATATGGCAAGCTGTGAAAACGACTAATACTTTTTTAAAAAATTAGCCATACATGTAATAAATTAAGGCTTTCATCTAGTTAATTTAAAATGTGTGATAGCAAAATCCATACTTTATTTCTCCTACTTAATTATTTTTTAAGTAAGAAACATATTGCAGGAGCTAGGCATTATTTTAAAACTTGAACATCTGACAATCTGCTTCTCTAGAAGTGCTATTGTAATTGACAGTATATATTTTTTTTATCTCATAAGCCAATAAACTGAGTTTCCTGCATTGCTAAAATATTACTGCCTGTGTACTATTTAAAAAATAAGTATTAGCAATTTGTATTAGTATTTGTCTAATAGTAGATTATGGCTCCATCCTTGGCTGTCAATGTTATTTTCACATTATTTTAAAGCAGCTAACTATATCATTCGACTTAACTGCACATTCCTGTGTCATCTGCTCCAAAGCAAAAGTTTATCTCCTCCCTCAAATCATTCAATTTTTTTCAATTTGGATTTTCACTGAATGTGATTCTTTCTTGATATGGTTCTAGCAGCCACTTCAAATAGACTCCATAAATATCAATCAGGCACCACCTTCCATGCCGGGATGGGCAACTTTACAATCTGTGGACTTCAATTCCCAGAATTCCTCAGTCAGCCATGCTGAAATCTACAGGTAGTAAAAGGACCATAGCTGCTTACCACTACTCTGTGCACTAAATGTGTCATGGGCAGAAACACAATATCTATTGACCTGATTCTCATTGCTCAAACTTCAGCAACATATGAGCTTCAACTGCTGGCTTGGAATTCTGGGAGTTAAAGTCCACACTTCTTAAAATTGCTAAAATTGAAAAACACTGTGTTATAAATTGCTGCAACCTCTGAATCAATTCGCAAGATTTCTTCCATTTCTGTCGAAATTGATCTTTTGAAATAGAACAAGGAATAAGTCAGAAAACATTTCAGTGTGCTCTCCTTTTCAAAAAAAAAATTTTTTTTTATTGGGATATTTAATTCCATCAAAATGTTACTCTCAAGGCTGGTTTATAATAATTTATAAAGCCTTAATAAGGCCACAGCTGGAATACTGTCTCCAGTTTTGGTCACATTACAAAAAAGATGTTGAGACTTTGAAAAAAGTGCAGAGAAGAACAACTAAGATATGAAACATATGAAGAACAGTTGCAGGATTTGGGTTTGGCTAGTCCAGAGAAAAGAAGGACTAGGGGAGACATGATAGCAATATTCCAATATTTGAGCAGCTGCCAAAAAGAGAAGGGGATCAACTTATTTTCCAAAGCACCAGAGGGCAGGACAAGAAACAATGGATGGAAACTAATCAAGGAGAGAAGCAACCTGGAATTAAGGAGAAATTTCCTAATAGTGAGGACAATTAACCAGTGGAACAGCTTGCAGTCAAAAGTTGTGGGTGCTTCATCACTGTTTTTAAGAAGAGACTGGACAGTCACTTTTCTGAAATGGTATAGGGTCTCCTACTTAAGCAGTGGGTTGGATTAGAAGACATCCAAGCTTTACTCTGATTGACTGATTGTTTCTGAAAATGCTCTAGTAAAATTACTTGTTTTTAGAAGAGCATGGCCTTTTTATTTTATTTTTTTAAAATATGTTTTGTATTTCTGCAGATACTGTGTTTTTCCACACACACTAATATTTCCCTCTTACTTTTCTGTGTTTCAGCAATTCTTGCCACCCGAGTTTGCTGACGGAAGAAATGATTTCAGCCTTTAAATATATTTTCCTATTTCAATCAACCTCTTTGCAGGTTATTGCACTTTGAGATAGACACAGATTTATCAGTGATGTTTATTAATATTAAAAACTTTCAAGTTACATTCAAAAAGTTGAATGTAAGTATTTTATCACCCTGAATTTAGCGTGTTGAATTTTTTTTTTCCTGTGCAGGAACATTAATGCTTTAGACATGCTGTATTTTAGAAAGGCTTTCTCATATAGGGACTTTTCCCAGATTGTTAGTTATTTAAATTCATTGCCATTTTCAGTTCATGCATTTTTCTCTTTATTTGTGTATTTTCAATTTCATTTATTTTTACATTGCTTATAAAATGTGGTCTAATCAAAACTAAGCAGCATTCAATTCTCCCTCTATGTGGGGATAAAACAAAAGCAAAATATACACTATACAAAATATAGCCTGTACAATTACATATCCAAGACCCAGAGAATAAATTACAATCAGCCCATACACAATTACAGCAACTGCCATTGCTAAAGGCAAATGGGTTACCACTCAGTCTAAACACATGTGTATACAGATTAAATCGCAGGGCAAAAATGAAATGATGTAATTGCCTCAGGATTGGGGTATAACACTAATTTTAGAAATCCTCCAACATAAACTTCCAAGAGAATTTAGAACAATTAAAAAGGGGAGAGAGAAGGAAAAATGTTTTTTCTAAGAGGCGATTCCCACAATTGTTTAGACAGATTTATTTCAGTGGATAGAATTGGAAGCTGAATAAGTTTTTTTTCTTTTAGTTTCTTTTTATATACCGTAACTTTCAGATTCAGATACACAGGTAGATCTCGACTTACAACCACAATTGAGCCCAAAATTTCCATTGCTAGGCAAGGCAAGTGTTAAGTGAATTTTGCCCCATTTTATGACCTTTTTTTTTTTTTGCCACAGTTGATAAGCAAATCATTTCAGTTTTTAAGTGGATCATATGATCATTAAGCAAATTTGGCTTTGTCTTTCCTAGTCAGAAGCTGGCTGGAAACATTACAAATGATCATCACATGACACCAGGACAGTGCAACTGTCATAAATACATGCCAGTTGCCAAGTGCCCAAATTTTGATCACGTGATCATGGGGATGCTGCAAATGTGAAAGTGTGAAAATTGGTCATAAATAACTGTTTTTTGTGCCGTTGTAACTTGGAATGGTCACTAAATAAATGATTAAGTACTACCTGTACTGTCCACCAGAATTGGATGTGATTACAGTTATAGTAAAAACCTAAGCAAAAATAAATGAAAAATCCAGAGATGACATAGCCAACTCTGTCAATATTTTACTACCTAATCTTAGAGAATAGCAGGGATCAAATCTTCAATTTGCATTCAGGATGTATCGACTTGCCAGATACAGATTCTGCATTTTTAGCTGGTTCCCAACAGATTTCTATAGATGAACTCTTTTTGACTCACCCAACTTTTGCTTTGAATATATTCAATATAAATGATTGTAAAATGTATTGGTATACGAGGTAATAGTTGTAAAAGCCCACTGATCTGTACTGGTAAAAAAATTAAGTACCTATCTTCCAAAATCCTGCATAAATTAATGGATATAACATGCATAAGACTCACGGCAAGGTATATGATCCTTACAGCCCAATGAGATATATTGGGATTGATGATAACGTATCTTGCTTTTAAGCAATTTGTATAGGTCAACTAATAAAATAACCACCTCGCAGTTTATAAACAGGAAGAGAGCACATTTTCATTTTTGCCTTCTCAAATTAAATTAAAATTGATCCTCCAGTTCAAGCACTGCACCTGAGTCGTATTATAAATCATCACAACTGTTTTAAAAAAGTCTTTTGTTTTGCTCTTTTTCCTCTGAAGAAGATGTTAACTGGATAGAAAGCTCCATCAAAGCTCCATAGTAAAAGAGAAGAATCTGTTTTAAGTCAGGTAATTTTTTTGCCTGCAACAGGATTTAATTAGTTTATCGATATAAAGTACAGAAAGACAAAGAAAAAGGAAAATAAGGAAGGAAAAGGGGAAGAGAGAAAAGTGTAGGATAAAGGGGAGAAGAAAAAGAAAAACATTGACTTCCAAATCTTTTGGTGCAGTAGAATAAATTAGATACATAAAACCTCAACTTTTTTACTTTTATGTGACAACATATACAGTACTAGCCATTTCTCTAACAACAAACCTACTTAATCAGCAAAACCCAAAATCAAACCCATTTCATATTTTTCCACCTCAAGCACAAAGTCCAAAAGCAGTTGCCAAGTAGAAACAAAATTAATTGTGTTCTTTTCTTTAATAAAAGCAGTCAATTTAGCCATTTCTGCTAAATCCATCAACTTTTGCAGTCATTCATTCATCCATTGTGGGAATCAGAGAGGAATCTCTTTTTTGTTTTAAAAGTGACGGAAGCTAAAAAGCAGAGATTATTTTTTTTAAATCATTTCCGTTTTTCCATTTTCTTTTGATTTCAAACCACCATGCCTATAAGTTATATGAGCAAGAATAAAATGAGTTTGAACATAATAGATTTTTCTTTCCTCCTGCATAATTGACATCAGTAAACACCCTGTGATGTCTAGTGCCGGACACACTCATGCCATTATTTAAAATTACCACTGAAATCGCTGACACCATTGCACAGTTGTCTATTCAATTTATCATTATACCTGCAGGATGATGGTCCCATAGGCATTCTTCAGCAGATTTACTACCTCAGCATGAGACAGACCATCCAAAGGCTGCCCATTAATACTGACAATCCTATCACCAACCTAAAAGAGAGAGGGAAAAACAGAACATAAATAGAAATATGGGTAGCATCACGGATACTGGAGTGATCGACCTGTTTTGCAAGTGTGGTGCTGCACAGTCGTGTTTCTTATTTATAAAAACACAATAGTCCAATTTATAAAAACCCACCAGAAGTGTTTCCACATGAATTTGTCTCTAAAATTAATGTATCTTCTAAAGCAGGGATCCCCAAACCTTGGTTCAGGTTCAGGTTAGCACCAGGCTGCAGCATGCCAGAATCCGGGCTAGACAAACAAGCAAAGCCCCATCCGCAGGATGCAGACAGCACACAAAACCACGCCCTCTCTCCACGGAACCAAAAGGCACCAGGAACCGGTTCTAAGGCAAGGAAGTTTTAGTGCTAATAGTCCATATATCAGCCATCTTGCTCCAAATGGTTGAAATATGAATTTAATAAATAAATAAACAACTGGACATTAAAAAGATTTATTTTTAAGATACCGTAAAGCTGTTTCTCATGATTGTTACTCTGGATTTGTTAACCTTATTTTATTAATAGCACTTTTTAAACATTCTTTGATCTGTTTCTGTAATTTGTGAGCTTTTTTCAGAAACTATTTTCTAATGCAAAGGGAAATGTGGTGCCGACGTTTTTGTATATATATGTATGAAAAAAGAACTCTTGCTCCAATTTTACAATCTAGGCTCAAAGAGAAATCATTGTAAAAGGAAGAAGAGATTATTGTTAGTATGTGAAACACTATTTTTTCCCTACAGGTACTTGGTGAAGTGAAGATGTTAGTCATAACTGCTATTCTCTTCCCTGCAAGTCATCCAGTATCTTCTAAATTGAAAAAAAAGAAAAAGAAAATAAAGTTCCTGTTTTTCTATGTTGTGAAATAGGAAACTACATGAGATGAGTTCACGGTCTTGATTGCAGACATTGTACTACTGAAATGCAATTTTCCACAATTGCTGTTATTCACAGCAGTAGACAAAAATGACGTTTTTTAGCTGCAAAATGAATGAAACACCTTCCAAAGTTGAAAAAAGAAACATTTTTGGAGGTAATAAAAACAGCAACAGCAGCAAGAAAATAGAGCTAGTTTTTATGCATGTATCAGTCATTCTTTCACTTACTCGTAGTTTATGTGTGCGTGCTGCCACTCCGTTGGCTTGAATCATAGCAATGAAGATCGGAATATCTGCCAAGGGACTTCCCTTGCCACCCGCAATACTGATACCAAGAGCATCATTCAAGCCCTTAACAGAGAAAGCACGGTGATAAGAATTACTTATTCTGCCCAAGTTTCAAATATATAATCTGTGGATCTGGACATGGAATGCAATTAAGGAATGACACAATCTGATTTTCCATGCTTTGTTCAAAAATTCCATGTCCATCAAATTTTCAAATTGTTTTAGTGACATTATTAAGCACATACAAAGGAAGCGTTGGTTTTTTTTTGCATTCATTGAAAACACTTTTGCATTCATTTGCAAAACTGTGAGATTTAAACGACATAATACTAAAATCTTTAAAATCTATACATGAGACTCCTATATTCTCTAGTGGAAAGATGAGATACCATGGTCAAGTTAATTCCATAATTTCTTTTATTTATTTGCTTAGAATTGCAAATCGATTTGACCACTATAAATCCATTAATTGTTTACACACTGGACAAAATAAAATAGTTTTGCTCTTTCTCGCTAAATATATTAAATAAGAAGAAATTACTGACCCTTGTTATTTCCACAGTTCTTGGGTTTATGTCTGCTCCAACTGACAAAAAAAATAAATATATAGACTAATTAAAGACTAAAGGTATCATAATATTATGTTCTCTACTTATTACTTCAAAATGATCACAAATATTGTGCTCCTTTCTCCAAACTGAAGGTTTCAAGATGTACTATAATTGGTCTACAATGGTGATGGCTAACCTTTTCCGGACCGAGTGCCCAAAGTGTGCACCCGCCCCCACATGCACCTTGTCCCCTATGCATGTGCGTGCAGCCCCCATGCATGCAGCCCACCCCACGCATGCATGCACGCACATCCCTGCATGCCCCCCGTCCCCGCGCAAATGCAGCAAAGACCTGAAGACCAAGTGGCCAGCAGAAAGTGCGCATGCATGCGTGGCACAGCTGAATTGGGGCAATGGCTCGTGTGCCCAAAGAGAGGGTGCTGCATGCCACCTTACTATCACAGATCTGCAACTTCCTGAATTCATAGTCAATATGGCCAATAGTTTGAGAGCCAGTTTGGTCTAGTGACTGAGGTGCCAGGCTAGAAAGCCAGAGACTATGAGTTCAAGTCCCACCTTAGACATGAAAGCCACATGGGTGACCTCTGGCCGGTCACTCTTTTCTTAGCACACCTCATAGGGTTGTTGTATGTAAAATAGAAGGAAGGAGGATATGTTCACCGCCTTGAGTTATTTGTAAAAATAATAAAGGCTGAATATAGGCAGACAGACAGCAAAGGGGGCTGAACATTTTTTAACTTCTGAGAATCAAGGTAATTGATTATCTGCACTATAAGAGGGAGAGAATTTGCAAGATTCTGTTATTATAGCCAATCTCAATAAGTGCAGTTGTTTTAGGAACAAACTCAAGAGCAGAATATCCATTATAATTCACAGATATGTTAATTGTCCTCTCCCATACCTGAATTTCTCTGAGAAGGATCGGCAGATGATCTCTTAGTGCTGACTAAATTCTGTAAAGTGGAGATAACCGGAGCAAATGTAGGATGAAAGTGGCTATGGACATTATGTTGGCTCATCTGAAAATCCAAGAAGAACAAATAAGGCTCAAGCTAGAATTTGCAAGGTTGTTCCACATATAATCCACACCAGCTGTTTACAGTTTCTCTCATTGGTTTATAGCATCTATCATTAAAGGTAAAGGTAAAGGTTCCCCTCGCACATATGCGTTAGTCATTCCTGACTCTAGGGGGTGGTGCTCATCTCCGTTTCAAAGCCAAAGAGCCAGCACTGTCCAAAGACATCTCCATGGTCATGTGGCCGGCATGACTAAACACCAGAGGCTCACAGAATGCTGTTACCTTCCCACCAAAGGTGGTCCCTATTTTTCTGCTTGCATTTTTTATGTGCTTTCGAACTGCTAGTTTGGCAGAAGCTGGGACAAGTAACAGGAGCTCACCCCATTACGCACTAGGCACTAGGGATTCTAACCGCTGAACTGCCGACCTTTCGATTGACAAGCTCAGCATCTTAGCCACTGAGCCACCGGGTCCCTATTAGATCTGTTCATTAAACCATGGATGATGCTTATGTTAGCCAAGATGCTATTAAAAATTTCTAAATCACTACTAACATATTCACTACAAACATATTCACACCCCAGAATTTAAAATTGATTTTTCAAAAAAATGTATAGAAACATGCATGGACAAAATTCTAATTTGGCTTTTTAGATGAGGGAAGACATATTGTGCCAACATGATGAAGAGTCACAGAGTCTGGCAATTGAGGCTAACAAAGTTGGAATTTATTTATTGCACTTCTAACTTTCTTTAGACTTTTTATTCCATCATATCTGGAGCCCAGCTGCTAAGAGGCAGGAACAAAACTCTACCACTCTCTTAATGAAATAGATTTTCAAGGTGCAGAACACTAATCAAATGTCTGGAACAATGTTCCTCTGTATGTCGAGGGAATTCATTAGCAGTAGCATTCTGTATGCTGGAAAAAGAGTAGCAAAGTGAAGTAGTAATACCTGAATTGGACTTGTTTAGTTTAGTTTATGTAAGGCAAAAATAAATGGTGCATCCAAAGTTTGGAAATTGGGCACAGATTGGGGAATGATCCTAAACTGAAATAAGAACATATGAGAAATGATATTGATAAATATCGGTATGCCTTCTTGGAAGAATGCACAGTAGTTTGTTGGATAACTTTCTAAAATAAGAACATAACATCCTGTGTTTCATTATTATCAGTATAAGAAGGTTCGTTTTAATTGTATCTTATGTCCTTCACTGCATGTAAAATGGATGGCATGAGATGACTATTGTGGCTGCAAGCGGCTGGTGAAAATAATACTGCTCTCATGACCTTTCTATAATTAATGGTTTCATGAAAAATCAAATACATGCATGACTATACAGAAATTATGAAAAATAAATTTCTAAAACAGGATTTTTCTGCCAGTTAAAACATGGGAATTGTCCCAACTATTAAGGTGGCCTTTAGATCATTAAAAATGATGGATATAAACAGATTTTTTTGAATTAAGGTTATATTTAGATTCTAATAATTTTATTCCAATGATCAAACCAGACAAGACAAACTATTTACAGATACATTTTGAGATTCATTACTTTATCATTCTTTTTAATGCATTGCCATCTGCTACAAACCTGACTGTTTTGAGATGTCTTCCTTGAGGATAATGAAGATCCCGCCCTCAGCCGTCCAATCTCCAGTTGTACAAGTCCTTGGGCACACTTCGATATACAAAATACAAGATAACAGGTATTCATTTTTATGGCTGTCCCTCCAAAAATTATACCTTTAAATTAGTGGTGGGATTCAAGTAATTTAACAACCGGTTCTCTGCACTAATGATTTCTTTCAACAACCAGTTTGCTAAACTGCCCAGAAAGTTAACAACCGGTTCTCCTGAAGTGGTGTGAACTGGCTGAATCCCACCACTGCTTTAAATAAACCAGGACCATTTAAAATGCCCTAGTCTTCAGAAGACCTGGCAACATCCATTTCCCAACTTGCTCTTTTTCTCCATATTATTCATAATAAAAGACCATATTTTAGCTGTAAAAATCTATATAATAATAATCAATAGAGTATACTAAGGACTGTACAATTGAAAGTTATTTTTAGTTGCATACATTGAGCTAAATTGTGGTTTGTTTAATTAGTGAATGATCCATATTGGCCCAATTCTGTAAACAAGCTATATTATGACTTAGTGGGAACTGCAACTGATCTTGTCTTTTTTTTTTAAAAAAAATGTTTTTTTTTATGAGGAATAACCAGAGAATTAAGTTTTTAAAGAAGGCAGCCCTTATATGCTGAAGTAGTATTACCTCTTAGTAGGATTACATAAAATACATTAGTAAGATTATATAAAATACATTTTATATAGATATATATCTTTTTTCTAAGTACTTGACTGATAAATGTGATTTATTTCCATTAACTACAGTTAAAATTAAATAGAGTGGATGATTAAACATAAAAGCTATATATATAAATTGTAGCACACAAACTTGAAGCTCTCATCATGCTTGTTTTGATAAAACTGAACTGTGTTTGAACACTTTGGCTGAATTTAGTATTTCCGAAGGATGTTACATTTTACAATGACTCTGCTGCATACTCACTTTAAGAATGGTGGCTACCACCTCTTGAGAAGCATGTCTGACATCCTCACCGTTGACAGATAATATCTGATCTCCTTGAATTAGTCGTCCATCAAGATCAGCGGCTCCTCCTTTGACAATGTCAGAGATAAACACGCCACTTCCATTTCTAACAATATAGGCAACATATGTACTGTATTATTAAACAACTAAACTATACATGCTATTTCTCTGCAATTACACATTGTTAATTATATCCAGCCCAAAACCAGGACTGCTGTTCTTACTTTTCTAAAGACAATAATATAGCTAATGGCAATTTTCATTGATGGCCTCCTCAATCAGAAAGGTCACATTCTGTCACTTAGGCCAATTTATTGTGGTATGGCAAATTGTTCTGCTATACGGCTAAATTGTTATCATCAATACATTTTCAGATAAGAAGCAATCTCTATCCATTTACTTTTGCACACAGAATCACAATGCCACTATACAAAAAACTCTACAAAACAATATAATGGAAAACATCATATCTTATACTGAACAGTTCATTTTAAGTCTACTGCCCCTGTACTGGTAAAATGCTAGTATAACTGCTAGCATAGCACTTATAATAATTTCAGCACATTATGTAAATTTTATAAATATAACATAGCAGTAAGTGCCATTATGACAGTGATGGCTAACCTTTTTGCCATCACGTGCCATAAGCGGGGGGAGTGTGGTGGGGTCACACGCACACGTACCCACATCCATAATTCTATGCGCCCTGCCCCCCCTGCTCCCCCCGTTTTTGGCACATGATGGCACGGTGGGCCCGGTAGGTCCTTTTTTTGCTCTCCCCAGGCTCCAGAGCCTTTCTAGGAGCCTGGGGAGGGCAAAAACAGCCTTCCCCACCCCCTCCAGAGGCCCTCCAGAGGCCGGAAACAGTGTGTTTCCTGACTTCTGATGGGCCCAAAAGGCCCAAAATCAGCTGGCTGGCGCACGCATGCGTGTGTGCCAGAGCTGAGCTGAGCTCGCATGCCCACCAATATGGCTCCGCGTGCCACCTGTGGTGCCCGTGCCATAGGTTCGCCATCACGGCACTATGACATTGGTATGCCCTCTTTGTTTCTACTGCAAGAAACATCTAAAATTAATTATGGTCAACTATATATTCTTTAAGGGATGTGGTAGCTCAGTGGCTAAGACACTGAGCTTGTCCATTGAAAGGTTGGGAGTTCAATGGTTCGAATCCCTAGTGATGCATAACAGGGTGAGCTCCCATTACTTGTCCCAGCTTCTGCCAACCTAGCAGTTCGAAAGCACGTAAAAAATGCAAATAGAAAAATAGGGTCCACCTTTGGTGGGAAAGTAACAGCATTCCATGCACTTTTGGCATTTAGTCATGCCGGCCACATGATCACGGAGACATCTTCGGAAAGCACTGGCTCTTCGACTTTGAAACGGAGATGAGCACGGCCCCCTAGAGTCAGAAACAACTAGCACATATGTGCAAGGGGAACCTTTACCTTTACCTTATATATTCCTTACCTTTTTCCTACAATGCTAAGTCCCAATCCTCTGCCCATTTTCCGTTGTAGGTCTACAAGGAAAATCTCCAAATTTTCTTCATCTTTATAATGAGCTTCATCTCTATAGACAACAAGCTGCACTTTTGGAGGTGTTTGCCTCAAGGCAGTGATAGCATCTTCATGGCTGGCATTTCTCAAGTCTATGCCATTAACCTAAAATAAAATAAAGCTTTCTGTTGGACGTACAGTTTACTTACTGGATTTTAATTAGTTTGATAACAATGGTGCATTATATTAGAGGAAAATTAGCATAAGCTGCCCAGAGTTGCCTTGTGACAAAGATAGCCGGCAAATAAATTTAACAAATAAATGAACAAGCACATAAATAAATAATTTTTTCCTAGGACTTCCCAATTTTACATTTTTAGAAAATTGCTTCTGCCATTCCAGCATCTCTATCCCAGGTTAGAGTTAAGGCTTACACAGACTCTGTGCAGAACACCAGAAATTCTGCCAATTCACTTGAAAGATAAAATCATGGCTAAACATTTCAAGAAGACAATTTTCATCTCAACCCATTTGATCCAGGAAGTTTATTCACTTTGGACTCCAAAGTCTGATTGATCTTAGTGAGAACAAGTTAGGAGTGAAAAGATGAATTTTCCTTATTTTGATTAACTACAGTGATAATTAAAGTTCAGAATGACTAAACTAATATACAGATTATAGTTAACCATAGTTTAGAAACGAGAAGATCCCCATGTTATTTTTTTTAAAGATTCTACTATGGTTGAGTATTCCAGTTGAACCAGCACTTATTCATAAATATTGTTTTGTATAATTTACTAAAATAAATCATAGCTTCCCTCTGCTTATATTATATAAAACCTCTTATTACTTATGCTTCTTAAATAATTGAGTAAGAATATATCCATTCTTAATTTCTGATAACATTATCTGAAAATGTAGATTTCCCAAAATCCTTAGAGCAAAGCATCATGATGAAAAAGCAAGTATTGTATGTTTTCTGAAGGAGTAACACTGAAATTCTACTGTAAAGTCTACTAATTTCAGTAAGATTTATTCATGGGTAAATATTGGTTTCTGACTCTACTGTTTTGTATGCATAATAAAGATCTACCTGTTGTTGTTTTTTTTAAATCACAATTCTATCCTTGGAAAGCAAAATAATATTTTTCTATATTCCAATAGATGGCACACCATACCATAGCAAAGCTTTAAATTGGCCTTAAAACAAATATTAATATTAAATTGCAAAGAGAGCCAAAACACTGTTTTCATTATCACCATGGCCAAGTAAAAATATCTTTCAGTTTTAACTACAACTACTGCAACTTGAAACATGTACCCTAATGTAATTTCTGGAACAGATCTGCTATTATACTATATTCATCTCTGGCAAAGCAATTTTCACATGTAAGGACCTTTTATTTAAAGCCCTCCCTCAACGTCTACATTACATTACTAGATTAATGTAATTGTCTTGCAAAACATTGCCTTCAAGCTTGAAGCAGTAGTACATAGGCGACAGCTATTTTGGTGTAGTAATTAACAAAAGTGAGCTGAAAACCAGGAGACAATTAGTTGTGGCCCTTTCTTAGACACAATACTGGCTGGATGCCTTTAGGCCCGTCACTTTCTCTCAGCCCTGGGAAAAAAGCAATGGCAAATAATTTCTTAAAAATATTGCCAAGAAAACTTAATGGATTTGTCCATGTAGTTGGTAAGAGTGAAGACTGATTCGAAGTCACCTCACACACCCTCTAAGAATATTTATAAATTATGTAATATTTGATCAGATATATTTGTGGGACCCAAACAATTAATACTATATTTTGAATTCCTGCACTGCCCAGCTGGAACAAATTCTCAATTTTAAGGCATTTCAGCACATCCATACAATTATCCTGAAGACAAGAGAAATATTCAAGGAAATAAACTTGAAACTCACTTCCAGAATTTGATCACCAGCCCAAAGTCGACCATCTCTAGCAGCTGCTCCTTCTTCATAAACTTCGTGTATGACTATGGCATCCTAGAGAAATATATAACCTTCATATCAATATTTAACAGTTTGAATACTGGTAGTTCAGAATATAGAATGACTGATTGGCAGATAGATAGGGAGGGAGGGGAGGGAGGGAGAGAAGGAGGTAATTACATGTCAAATTTCCCATTACATATACTGTAAATATATTAAATATTAATAGGTATTGTGTAAATGTAAGTCCTTCTTTAATACTGTATGCAAGTTTAGGTGCATCAATAGAATATAGTGTCCAAATCACAGTAGGTTAATAGATCCATTATATACCCCACTGGTCAGATTCAACCTTGAATATCTGTATCATATTTGAAGAATTCAGACAAACTGAAACCGATTCATAAAAGGACAGAATCACTCTGTCCTTCTCTCTTAAAAAAAATCCTCTTTTGGTTCTGAATGGCCATTGCAGAATCCAATTAATACAAAACTACCAAAAAGTTTGGGAGAGTGGGAACATCTTTGCCTGATTCGATGGGTATTGGGCAGGGCAGCAGAGGCAGCCTCTACATCCGAGAAGGGCTTCCTTGTAGCCATGATTCACTTTATTTTTGGTACTCTGAGAAGGCATTCACAGGTCTGCGACAGGTATACAGATAGTCCTCGACTTACAACCACAAATGAGCCCAAAATTTATGTTGCTAAGCAAGGTAGTTGTTAAATGAGTTATTTCTCATTTTACATTCTGGTTCAGACAATTCAAAATAAAATCGGACAATCTCTTTCCGAAATATTTTTACTATCAGGTATATAGTCCTGACAAAATCAGCAATTATTCTCATGCATGCAAACAGATGTCCTTTTGCCCTTTCAAGGACATCAGAATCTTGTCTTCAGAAAGCAGTAATTTGCTTCCATTTCCCCATCATTACAGTATCATTTTATCTCTCTCTCTCAAAAAAAAACAAAAAACCTTAATTTTATCTGGAAACAATCTTTGGCAAAGCTAGCATATTAGCCCAAGACAACAATCTGTAAGTCTATTGAGTTCTTTTAGGAAATATGATTAAAATTACATCTAACAAGCCTTGAAAGAAAACACACCAAATGTAATTTTAATCATATTTCCTAAAGAAACTCAATAGACTTACAGACTGTTGTCTTGTGCTGAAGGATGGAAGGAAGGAAGGGTGGAAGAAAGGAAGGAAAGAAGGAAGGAAGGAAGGAAGGAAGGGAAAGGAAGGAAGGAAGGAAGGAAGGAAGGAAGAAAGTTCCTTCCTTCCTTCTCCTTCCTTCCTTCCTTCCTTCCTTCCTTCCTTCCTTCCTTCCTCTTCCTTCCTTCCCCCCTTTCTTTCTTTCATTTATATTTTTTATATCTAAGCCACCCATCTCCTTCAGAGTGATAAGAGAAAAGTACAATCATTCCTTTAAAAAGGGAATTGAAAATTTAAATCTTCACTTTGGGTCCATAAAAGAAACCAGGGTGGATAAAAATCAATGATTTTTTTTAAAAAAAATCAAAAAAATCAGATTTTTTAAAATTTAAATCAGATTTTTTTTATTTAAATTGGATTTTTTTGATTTTTATTGAATTTATTTTAATAAAAAACTTTGGGGGTAAAAATCTATCGTAAGGTAGTTTTCTATTTAAGATACATAAATAATTTAGTTTATTCAGCATGAAATGGAGCTTAGTTATGTAGCATGAGGCTGTATATTCTGCAACACTGGGACTATCGGTGAGTCAACAGTGGGTCAAAGGAGTAGCAGAGATGACAGTTGCTCTTTAAAAATTATGATTTAAATCGAGTTGATTTAAATCAAGCCTTTTTACTAGTGATTTAAATCATGTTTTAAATTGTGATTTAAATCAACTCGATTTAAATCAAATCCACCCTGAAAGGAACACTAAGAACAAACATTTATAAAACAGTTTGTTGTTTCCTTTGAACATAAGTTAACTATAAGTGTATGCCTAGTAGCAAAACTTTCCATCTTTTTCTCTTCAATTTCTTTCACTTTCACGATTGATATATAGCTTTTCCTGCAAACTTCCAGTTATAGTAAAATTACCATAAATATCTAAAGTTCTTTGAAATCATCACTGCAAATTCCTGCCCAACATGCATGCGCTGACCACAGAAAAGAGAAAAGAGCATAAATCTCAAAGATGCTTCTAAAAAGTTACTCTGAATATCAGTGAGCGAATCTTACCCATTCTGTCTTTCAACTTAACATTTGGAATAGATTCTTGATATAAAGCCGTTGATAATAGACAGTGTAGTTAGTGCGAGTTCAGAAGAATGTGTTCAATTTAAAAAATATCTTTCCTGAAGCAACACTACCTCACTCAAAGCAAGGGGACACAAAACAAAAAAAGACAAGGAGGAAAGTAACATCATCTTTTGCCCTAAAGCAGTTTTTTTGATCAAAGGATTGTTTTGAAGCTTCCCTTTTTCTTTTAAACCTCATGGCTATGAGTATTTACAACTATGATGCTATTGGAAAATGTTACACTGCCGTATCACATTTCTAATTACTCTGTTTGGGTTTTGAGGGACATTAGTGGCCATTTATTTACAGAATACCACAGAACCGCAAACTACTGCCGATTCAGGAATCAATCTGTTTACAGGAAGCTGCATAATTAAATTATAATTACCAATATGAAAATATGGTTTACACATGTTCACAGAGCGATATCGTTTGGGGGGGGGGGAATGAAAAATGCAACCAGCATGGGCAGAAAATTAGAGAATACTTTTTTTATTAGTAGAGCAGTCGGTTTTTCAGATTGCCTTCCAAATAAACAGACTCCGGTATCAAAGATCTGCATATCTTACCTTAGACAAGAACTACAGTATAGTTTAAGGCAGTGATGGCGAACCTTTTCGGCACCAAGTGCCCAAACTGGAATGCGCATGCATATGTGTGCATGTGCGCCCACCGGAGTGCCGGAAACCTGAAGACCAGCTGGCAGTGCGCATGCCTGTTTTGAGGGCATTTTTGGTCATTTTTTGGGCTGTTTTTAGGCTGTTTTTCAGACCATTTTCAGGCTGTTTTTTCGGACCATTTTCAGGCTGTTTTTCAGTGCTCCAGTGCCCACGAAGACCAGCTGGCCATGCAAATGTGTGTGCCAGAAACCAAAAGAGCAGCTGGTGACGGCATGTGTGCCAACAGAGAGGGCTCTGCGTATGACCTTTGGCACGCATGCCATAGGTCTGCCATCACGGGTCTAAGGTAACATATGCAGATTTAATGTTGCACAAACTATAATTTTCTAATGCAGTACAGGTAGTCCTCAACTTACAACAGTTTATTTACTGTTCGTCAAAATTACAAGGGCAACTGAAAAAAGTGACTTATGACCGTTATTCACACTTATGACTGTTGCACCATTCCCATTGTCACGTGATTTATATTTAGATGTTTTACAACTGGTTCACATTTATGACAGTTGCAGTGTCCCAAGGTCATGTAACCATCTTTTGTGATCTTTTGACAAGCAAAGTCAATTGGGAAGCCAGATTCACTTAACAATCAGGTTACTAATTTAACAATTGTGGTGATTCACTTAACAAATGTGGCCAGAAAAGTCATAAAATGGGGCAAAACTCACTTAATACATTTCTCACTTAGCAACATACGTTCTGGGCTCAGTTGTGGCCGTAAGTCAAGGACTACTTGTACTTTCATATGCATTTTTCCGTTTAATTTTTTTACAACCATGTTTTTTTGTTATGATGCATGGCCATAGTGAAATTTAGTTTATTGGCTACTTGTACCTGTTCAAGGATATTTGCAGGGTATGGATAAAAAAAAAGAAGTCAAAATGGTACTAATGACTCTGGTCATTTTCATGTGAGTCTGCACTCTGCAGATAACCCTGAACAAGATTATTGTAGAAAGTATACCTAATCGGTTACGTCATAATTTCTGTCAATGGTCATAGAGAAACATCATGTTGCAATGCGACATTTATATCCAAAGCCCATTTAAAACAGACAATAGGAAGGCCAAGATGTGTTATTATGGGTTTTCTGAACTCCAACTTATACGCCAAATTCAGGACCTGTTCACAATTTGGTAATTCTGCTCCAGGAAAATGATTACCCCATGCACTTCGGTTTCAATAACAATCAAAAGGTAGGAAAAAAATTACATATGGGTATGGAAGTTTGCATTCTTGGATGGGGAACATGCCCAGATCCATGTGTGGTTGTTATTACATTCAAACAACATTAACAACTCAAATGCAAAGCCAAGTACCACTGCAATGTAATGTAGCTGTGTGTTTGGGGCAAGAAAAGTGATAAAATGGATCCCAAATTAAGTCTGACTGTATGTCAGATGACATTCTTTGGCCTGTATGCATTTAAAAGAAGTGCACAGCAGGTGGCAGGATTGATCTTAAAATGTTAATAGGATTGGGCATGATCCTATAGTGGTGGGACACCACCTGGAAAGTTATGGCTGCAGACTAAATTAGAATATATATATCTGAAGACGACAGTGGTAAATAATATTGCTGCCAAAGAAAGCTGTGGGTTGAAGTCAAGGGAGACATTTCACCTTCATTTTTTTCTAATTTGAAGGAAAGTGTATCCATATGTATCTGAATGTAGTTTTTCCTACCAAACTATCAAATGGTTTCAAGGAAACCACTAATATTAGCCTTATGCTTATTCGAACCTTGTAGCTAGGTCCCACTATTGCAGGTTGCATACTAGTGCCTTTACACTCATACCATTTTCAGATTTAAAACCTACCATTTTAATAGGCAATATTCATTTGCATTCTTTCAATGTACTCTTATAAAAATTTTCCAGGTTTTATTGTGATATAATAAAAGTAATTTAAATTTTAATGATTTAATTGTTTTTAAAAAAATATTTCTGGCAGTCATATGCTAGAGCAGATGGTAGAGATGTGTTTTTAATAAAACAGAAGAGATAGAAAATTGTCAAAAAGGTGAACCAAATAACTACCTTGCTTTGATGAGGTAGCTTCATTAACCCCACTGCCCCCACCCCCAAAATGTGCTAAGTGAGCAGGGATTAGAATAAGAAAATTATGCTTAAGTTGCAAATTTCTTCTTCTACTTCTTAGGCCTATTGCTATCTTGCAACCTTTTTTTAAAAAAATCTGTCTGTCTGTCTATCTGTCTGTCTATCTACCGTGTTTTCCCAAAAATAAGACCCTGTCTTATATTTTTTTGAACCCTGAAATAAGCGCTTAACCTTATTGCCATGCGCTCAAAAGCCCAGTTGGGCTTATTATCAGGGGATGTCTTATTTTGGGGGAAACAGGGTATCTATCTATCTATCTATCTATCTATCTATCTATCTATCTATCTATCTATCAATCTATCATTCTTATGCCACCCATTTCACTAATAAAGTGAAATTAACTCTGGTCACGTTAATGCTGTATTGATGGTTCCGGACAAAACGCAGAGTATACGAGTATAAAACAAAGTTTAAAAAAAGCAAGTCTTCTTTAAATAATCTGTCACAAATCATTATTTTCAGAGTAAAGAGAACAGAAGCAAGACCTACGTGTTGAATTCCAAGTAGGAAAAAAGTAAATACTAAATTGGGATTCTGTCAAAACAGGAAGGGGATTGATTGACTGTATGCCCTTCAATTTTCAAGACCATAAAACTATAAGTGGCTAAAAGAGTTTGCATGTCCTCTAAAGGTCACAGATTTTTTTTTTATGTGATAAGAAAACTGATATTTCAAAATATCTTCTCTTGGAATTACAGGTGAAGTTAAAGCACAATTTCTGATCCTAATTTAGGTACGTGGGTCATAGTTTCTGACAAATTAAAAATTACAGTAGATGAACAAATTTTCCCCAGAATTAAGGGACATTTTCAATAGTGGCTCTATGTATTTACATTAGTGATCTGAACAGCTATTAACTTCATAAATTAAGTCAAATTCACAGAGAATCTTGACTGGCTACAAAGTACAAAGGTTAAGCTCACTATTTATTTATACCAAGATATTTGTATGTCATATGGGGTTACCCTGGCTGATTTTTAAAACAGTATACTAGAATGAATAATTTAAAAAGAACAATTAAAATACTAAAAACCTGCAGATTCAAATTAAAACAATTAAGAAAATATAAAGTGATATAATTATTTGCTATCACAGCCATAACTGGCAAAGATGATGCACAGATGAAGCAAAGCTATAGTTTTCTTTTGGTCTCTGCATTCTTTCCCCATCATCCCAAATATAGTCACTTAAGTCCTCATAACTGGCTAGCCTCTTACCTGTTCAGCTGAAGCGTAGTTCAGTGCTCTATTTCATGGGATATCTCCCTTAGGAGATGAAACTAAGTCCTCTTTGAGGCAGGATAATTGAATGGAAGACAATTCTGGTTTTAGAATTTCTCCATAAAATCTATGGCCCTAATTAAATTAGAGAGTGGGAATGGGTTAAGAACCTATTTGAGTAGTAGACAAAATATTGCCAGTAGTTGCCTTCATGAGAAGTATAATGATGCTTAGTTAGAACAGAAAGAGGCTAGTCTTTATTACTATGAAGACTATGTCAAAGAGATAACAATGTTGTGCTGATTAAAGCTCAACAGGGCAGGTGATATGTCAATCCCAGGTCTTCCACAAGATAAAACAGTAACATTTTTCCAGTTTAATTCATGGGACATTCAAGGACTAACCTGTAGAGAAGAATTCCCTTAACTTCAAAAAGATTATTCCATCAGCCTAAGAAAGTTGGATATTGAGCATTGTAGAGATTGTTTTGAGGGAAAAGCATCATGGAGATTGCTTTGAGGGAAATATTCAGAAGCCATTAGAAAAAAAATGGCAGAAGCATTCCTTAAGCCTTGGGAAAAGAGGCAATGTTAGAAAGAGATCAGGTTGGGTCCTCCCTGCCTCAGTATAGTATAAGAGGGGAAAAACACACTCAGATTTCCAAATACTGTCAATATAAATAAAGCTGACTTTTAGTTGTCTTGTGGAGTCTGTTTCTTGATCTGGATAACCTTGAAGAGCTGACACTTATCTATACTCTTAGCAAAAAAAAAATCACATTTTAACTTTACAATCTCTCTATTCCAGGAAGGCTAATTTTTGACTAATTGCAGCAACAGTTAATCAAAACTGTTCTAGGCAGTTGCTGCAGAATGAGTAAATATAATAAGTTCCGTTTAGTATATCTTTTTAAAAATTCTATTTGCATTGCATTTAACAATGCCCCTCTCATTATCTAGTCTCCATTCCACACTTTCTGAGGTTGGAGAAGAAGAAGTCCTTCTAATAAAGGAGAATATTTGTAGTTGTGGGTTGATTTGAGGGGTCCTTGGTGCTCTCTGAACTTGCTTCTTCAGCACGGATCTAGTTTGAATAATGAAAAATTATCCTTCCGTTGCCCATTATAATTTCTCTACTTTAATGTCCTCAGATCACATTTCTATTTTCTTTATTATATTATCCCAGAACTAAAAGGATTTACCATTTGTAAAAACTGTCAATTATACACACTCACTCTCTCTCCATTCAGAACAAACAACTTACAAGTGGTGTATCCTTTCCTCCTACGATACTGAGTCCCAGACCTGATCGTCCTTTGGATATTTCAATAGTCATTTCTTGGCCAGGAACGATTGGGCACATTGCTGGATCTACTGGAGGAGGTGGAAAGTTGTCTACATCAAAAATAAAAATGATTAGTCCATACAGTTGTAAGTGTTATGTAAACACATTGCAGAGGAATATGTTAGATGTCGTAATGGATCTGATTAAAGAAACATGGCTCTTGGAAAAATTCAGATTTATTTACAGATAATAGAAAGGAAAGGAAAGGAAAGGAAAGAAGATAGAAAGAAAGAAAGAAAGAAAGAAAGAGAGAGAGAGAGAGAGAGAGAGAGAGAGAGAGAAAGAAAGAAAGAAAGAAAGAAAGAAAGAAAGAAAGAAAGAAAGAAAAGCTGAAGTACAACAGGGACAATTTATATATATGTAATATTGCTTTGAAATGGTTATTTCCAAAAAAAGAATCCATTGAAATGAAGGAAAATAGTTTCAGCTGAGCAGAGATTGCTCCCTTGCAATACATTTTCTTGGTTTATTTTCAGTCTAGATAGACAATAAGTTCTGCTATCACTATGCCACTAAATACAGCATAAGAATTTGTTATTTAAAATCTAGTTGAAATTTTATGTTTTGTTGCTAACAGGGATTTTTCTCCCCTCTCCATATGAAATTGTTTACATAAGTCATAGATTGTTATATTGACTGTTTCCTAATATGATTTGATTGCTTATTTGTACTCTATGACTATCATTAAGTGTTGTAACTTATGATTCTTGACGAATGTATCTTTTTTTTTATGTACACTGAGAGCATATGGACCAAGACAAATTCCTTCTGTGTTCAATTACACTTGGCCAATAAGAATTCTATTCTATTCTATTCTATTCTATTCTATTCTATTCTATTCTATTCTATTCTAATGGAAAACTGATTTTTTTCATTCTTAATGCTCTTGTATATGTTTATATGTAGTATATGTTTAATGCTTTTGGATAGAATCGAAAAGCATTAAAACACACACCCTATGTCAAGGTGACAAATATTTTAATTAAATGCACAGAAGATAAGAGCCACTGCAGAAGAAGACGACGTTAAATAAACTTCATTAAAAAAAAAAAGCTTTCATTTCTATGAAAATAAAAAGGACATGCTAAATGAAACAAACAAATGTTAAAAAGTATGATATTTATGTAGTTACTTACCAAGCACATCTAAATTATATTAAAGTAACCAAAATATCTTTACAATCCCCAAGGCAGGTCACAACTTTTGAGCACCTCTAATGTTTGGAAATTGAAAGTTGAAAAATTTGACACACCATAGTTACTGTTGTGGTAATTTAGGCGATACGTTAAACAATTTAAATGTCTTAAGACATTTACCTTAGTTAGTTTTTTTTTAATTAAAGTTAGTTTTTTTTTAATTAAAGTTAGTTTTTTAAAAAAATTAAAAAGCAATATTACCACCCTAAATTCTGAGGATTAACGCAAAGTACTTCTTCAGATGAAAATAACAGGTTCATACTTTGATTGCTGAATTCTGGCTCTGGAGGATAAGATGAGTCGGGGGCCAAAGAAATCTCATGTAAATTGATGGGGATGGGGTTCACTGTGGAAAACGTTGTTTGCTTTAACTGGTTTCGAAGCTGGGAGAGGCAAAAAGAAAAATAAAATCAGTATTTGAATTTTTAACTTCATATAAAATTCTAAACAAAAAGTTTAAACCATTGGGCAGATAATATTTAGATGAATCAGGAATGGACAGTTAACAGTTCTAGGAATAAATTATCTGTCTACTTTTGGAAGACTAGTTTCATATATCTTTACATGAATGTATGAAGAAAATACGTAAAGATAAACTAACGAAAAGCTGTAAGAAATGTTCATGTTTTGGGCTATTTTATGTGTGTCCTTTAATTGTCAATATATAAAATAAAACCACAATGACTAATAAATAAAACCACTTCTTTTTTATTTAAAACAATAGAATTAAAATACTCACATTTTCTGGAGGCTGGTCTGCCTCAACTTGCTGGTCTTCAATCACCTCTTTTTCAGCTTTGCTGCTGATATCCTAATCAATATGGATACATAAATTGTAAAATATTAGTTTGTGATACACTGTGTTCAATTACTTTTATGAACATCAACAATTGCCATGCTGCTGCTTCTGTTAAGTCAACAAGCTGGTATTTGGTTTTCAGTCCAGAAATAACCACTCATTGCCATTGTCCTGTGACTTAAGAATTTATCAAACTTTACTTATAACATTCTCTAAGATAAATATAAAATGTAAAATTTGATTAAACTACCACTGATTTGCCTTGAACTAAAATATGAGTCTAACCCATTTTACCTTTGTTTGTTTGAATGTAACTTGTGCATTTGAATATATCAATCCATCCATCCATCAATTAAAGTGATTGAAGTGTTGGAAGAACTTTACCATGCTTGACACTCAAATTTGTTTGCCCATTTGGAAAAGATACTACAAATATTGTACTTATTTTGTGGACTTTAAGGATAGCATGATTAGAAGCTAGTCTAACGAATATAACAGTATAACTATAATAACTACATTACTACTTCTACTTGACATGGAAAAGTGAAGCATTAATTTTAATGGCTACTGTTAGCCAAGTGAAACCCTGATTCCATACTAGCTTTACTGTCAGTATTATTGTTTAACATTTTCCTCTTTTTATGTACAGAATATCACTACATGTACAATCTTAATAGGGGCATTAATGTGAACAAAGGTATTTTACTGAATCTTTCCCACCATACAGGTTATAGTTCTCATATAAAAATTTCACTTCCCACATCTGATGGCATTATATTTTTAGAAATCTAAATGTAGTTGTTAAGGCAATCAATCATTATTTTTCCTTCAATTATTGAAACATTTCTTTTATAAGCAATATATACTTTGATAAATACAGTAGAAAATAATTCCCTTCTCTGCAATAATGTTGATTGATCTCTTTGTATGCATATGTCTCTTGTGTTATTCACATTTTTAGGTGCTACACAAATCCAGGAAGACATCCTGTTTTAAATAGTGCAAAGAGATTGTACATTCAAACACTAGGAGCAAGGTTCAGTGATAAATTAAAAGAATTTTCAAATCATATCAGGCTCACTGATTATAATCTATTCCTAGTCATACTTGTAGAGATGAATAATAATGCAAAGAAGAGCTTCAACCCCTTATCACCAAGGACTATGGAAATCTCAGGAGGAAGTTGAAGATCCTAGAGATGTAAGTGGCAATTCTGTTCATTTTTCAAAGAAGGCTACTGACAAACTGTATATATAGTGTTGAGAGAGATTTAGTTTCCATCAGCCTCAAAGTTTAGTCCTGCTTTTTCACCCTGCTCTTTGTACTTTCCCTATTAGAGTATGTTTGTGTGTGTGCATTTGTGCATGTGTGCCTTCAAGTCAGTGTTGAAGTTTTGTTGGCAAGATTTCAGAAATGGTTTACTATTGTCTCTTCCCTAGAGTGGAGAGAAAGTGAATGGCCCAAGACCACTTATCTGGCTTTGTGAAGGAGAATTCAGTCTCCCAAATTGACTTTAAATTTTCAGCACCTGACAAATTGTACTGTAGGGCTACCGAAATACCTGGTAATCTAGCTGAATATTACCTTAGAGAAAGCCTAGTGAATTGGTGAAATGCTAGACAACTGAAAAAAGTTATCCTTGTCTTCACAAAGAGGAGAAAGGAGAATCCAGGAAATAGAAGTATAGCTTCTAAATTTTTTAAAAAGTCATTGTACTTAAAGTTACAGGAAAGCAGATTCTGACACAATGTTAGAAAAATTCCTAACGGTAGACCAGTTAGATGGGATAGCCAATTGCTCTGAGGTCTGACAAACTCAAATAGACTACCTGGAGTCCTTTAATCTACGTCAGCACACTGAGCAGTAATTTACACTGAAAAGTAATTTTGACGGACAAAATTACTTTTTCCTAAACAGGATTCTATGTATGTGATTCTCAGTTATCTAGGTCATGATTGTCCCAAATATGCTTTTTCAAAAGACAACTGGACTTCAGTCATCTGATCATTAGCACTCATTCAAAAGTCCCTTGGATGTTTATCTGCTTCAGGGGTAGGTTCTAATTTTTTTTACTACCGGTTCTGTGGGCGTGGCTTATTTTGTGGGTGTGGCTTGGAGGTCATGTGACCAGGTGGGCGTGGCTAGCTGGTCAGAGTCATTTCTGGAAGGTCCTCGCACTTACGACCAGTCCTCGCTCTTACGACCCGACTCATTTGTTTGCTTTTAACACTGATCAGCTGTAGGACGGCCCTTTGAAACCCCGCGGCAAGAGTTTAAACAGTTTTTTTCCCTCTAGTCATCAGCTGGGGCTCAGGAGGCAGCAATAGATTGGGGGTGGGACCAAATAAAAGGTAAGAATAACGTGGGTGGGGGGTGGGGGGGTGGGAGAGCGGGGGGGGAGAACCGGTTCGGTGATGTCATATCATCACCGCTACCGGCTCTGCCGAACCGGACCGAACCGGGAGGAACCCACCACTGATCTGCTTTCTCTGAGTAGTAAACAGCAGATAGGTGTTGTCGTATCACTCCCAATCTTAATGTAGATAGCCTCTTTGATTGCTCTTTCAAACCAGTGGTCCTCTCTGTCTAGAATGTGGACTTTGCTATCTTCAAAAGAGTGATCTTTGTCTTTCAAATGCAGATGGACTGATGAATCTTGTCCTGATCAATTTGTTTTCCTATGTTGCGTCATGTTTTTGTGAAGTGGTTGTTTCTCCAATGTACAGATCTGTACATGTTTCACTGCACTTTACTGCATATATCACATTGCTCAGTTTGTGTCTGAGTGTTTTATCCTTCTATGTATGATTCCAGGTATGAGGAGACCTTAGATAATGTGCTCAGAGGTAGTTCCAGGCAGAATGTGGAAAGTGCTGTTCAGTCACCTTCATCCATTTTGCTGCCACCACTCTGTCTTTTGTCATCTTCCTCCCACAACCACATCACACAGATGCTTTTTTTCTCGGCTCCCTCCTCACTGTTTGCACTGCTGCTGTGCTCCCACCCCCATCCTCTCTGCCTGCTGGCACGAAAGAATGCACTGTCAGAGCCAGCCAGTAGCTTTCTCCAGCTGCCAACAGAAAAGCTGCAGTTTTGCACATACTGTATCTTTGCTTCTTCAAACTGTGATTTCTGGTTAAATAGCAAAAGAACATCTTATCCAATAGAAAACTATAGTCTTCTGTAATGCATGATGTCAGAGAATTGTGTTTGGTGTAGAAACTGGCTTTAGGAAGACCAAGCTTCAGTGCATTCTGGATAAGGCAGCAGCAATAATTTCTCTGACTTTGTTTCATGCAGGTAGTTGTTGAGATAGCCGTTGACCACTCAAAGTTTGATGATGCTAAACAAGCGGTCCTTGGAGTTATGGCCATTATGATTGCAACCTGCAGTCATGTGATTACAATCTGGGTGCTCAGTGCCAAGCATATGATTACAAAATCACAACAAGCTGTTGTCACATGCTCATGTGACGTTTTCTGCTGGCTTCCCACAAGCCAAGTCAACGTGGAAGCTGACAGGAGTCACAAGTTGCTTCTCCTACTGCTCCTTTTCATCTACCCTACTCTGTAGTGTCTGCCCACAGTCCTCTCCTGCCATCCATGGCAACTATCTGCCCACAGCTCTCATCTGCAAGTCTGCTTACCTAAGACTCCTGCTTCTTCCTGAATGACCTACACAGTTCTGGAGTTACAATGGCAATTGGGACTGCCATCACTAAATGATATGATTACATGATTTGTGCTTTACAACCATATCACTTAGTGACAGATTTTCTGGTTCCAGTTGCAGTCATAACCAAAAGACTACCTGAATTTAAATGATATCCAATTCTAATTATACAATATGGGCTAACTTCATAAAAATCTACAGAAATTAAGTTGGACATATTTGACAATGAAATTATTTTTATGAATGTACATAACTTAGTCATACTACTTTTGAATACTTACACTGCATGCTATTATTATTTATTATTATTAACATTTATTATGGTTACTAAGAGAAGACTCTGGGTATTACTGGCTGTTTCTCTGCCTCCTTTCTAGGACTGAGCGAAAGTACATTTTAACTCCAAAAGAAACTTTGCCTAAATATCAGTTTTAAGGTATTGCTACTATCAAATGAAATACTTTTGATTTACTTTTCTTGATCAATATAATATCACAAATGCAAGTTTTCTGACCAATTCATCTCTGCCATTAATGGCTCTTAACTTACATTGTGAAAATGTTTGTTCATTGATTACACTACTCAGTAACTGTTCTCCCTGTAGCCAAAGGATATTTCTAATGCTCAGTTAGGGAGAGTGGAAGATTTAATTATATACATGTTTGGGATTATATAAAGCTAATTATGATTAATTGTTCTCATTTATAACACATTGGAAAGCATCTTACCTCATTGGAAGGCTGAGTGCAAGAGGGTAATGGAAAAGGAGCTACAGCCATCTGGTTAAATGCATCCTCATTGCTAACGGTGAGGAGAAAAAATAATTGATTAGTCAAACTGAAAGGACAACTCACATTTAATCTCCCTCGCTGCCCTTTCTCTGGTGAGATATAGTTGTTTATCATATTTACAACTTCCTTTCCTCTGTGATTCACAAAACGGTTTTAGGTCCTTCATTTCAAAATACCAACCAAATTGAGATTGCTAAATCATCTGCGTTTAATACTTGCATCCAAAACAACAATGACAAAAGCATTTAAAAAGCAAAATTAAGAATGTATTGCTGTCCCTTCATGCTGCTTCACAGCAAGGTAATTAGGATGCTGGATGTATAGGTACCATTATTTGGAGAAACATAGCTCATTTCCATATGTTCAGTTGCAGACAATTAACACAAGACCCTTATGACAAAACAAGGAATATTTTCCAAAGGATGATGTGGATGTGCAGAATAATCCTATTTCAAAAAGTCTTCCTCTATGGATTATTAGATAAGGAGTTGGGAAAAAGATTTGGAATTCTGTGATGAGAATTTTATATGTCCAGAAATAGAAAGATATTCCAGTCCCCACCACAGAAAAATGGATGGGAAAAGTGATGGAGCTAGAGGAAATGGCAAAAATTGACAGTTTTGTTCAGAGAAAATAAGATATCTAGCTTTGTTTCTTCTTGGAGCTTGAGATAGAAAAAAAATGAACTCTTGGATTTTGCTGGTTTTTTATTATAGAAATGGCTAGTATTTGTTAAGTTGGTAAAGTAAAAAGTTGACTCTGAAATTTTATTCTGTAGCAATAGCACTTAGACTTATATACCACTTTACAGTGCTTTACAGACATCTGTAAGCCGTTTTACAGAGTCAGCATACTGCCCCCTACAATTTGGGTCCTCATTTTAGCCACCTCGGAAGGACGGAAGGCTGAGTCAACCTTGAGCCTGGTGGGATTTGAACTGCCAAATTGCAGGGAGCTGACAGGCAGCAGAAGTAACCTGCAGTACCCTAACCAAGGCTTTTAGAGAAAAGGAAGGAAAAGAAGATGATGGTATTTAAAGAAGAATTTACAAATACCGGAGCACTCAAGAATAATAATGGAAGAGATTTAATAGAGGCAAATTAAGTTAAGTTAAGGAAAGACTTTTAAAAATGGGAGATGAAACTTTTGCAAAATGAATTGCAGACAGGCAAAAGCATTCTTATAGAACTTTTTAAAAGAAGTTTTTAGAGAATACAGTATTCAGTATTCAGGAACTTGTTTCTGCTAGAAAACACAATGACACAATGGCCAACAGAATAGCTGTCACAAAGAAAAGGAGCAGGTTGAGATGAAATTTTTACTATGTTTAAATTTAATAGATTTAAATGTATTAAATGTATTTAATACATTTATATGGCCACCCATCTCATTTGCATGAGTCTTGGTGGCTCAAAAAACAAAAGGGAAATATTGTATAAATAAAGAACCAAAACTGAAAACAGCAGAAACAACATAAAATAGCATAGCAACCAAAAACCAAAAATGATTGAGCTGCTTAAAGCTGCAGAGGTATTAGCTAAAGTGTCAACAATTCTAACATGATAAATGTGGCCAGGACTACCACCCGGGCTAGAGATTGGAAAAGATCCTTGTATATAGCTATGCTAAAGAAGGCAGTTGCACGGAAAGAATCTAACTGAATCATTGAAATACTTCTCATGCATACAATGTTTTGAATAAGATCTTGCACAGAAGAAAACATCCATGGTTGATGAGAGAAAAGATAAATGAATGGGCAGGAGGCCATGAGATCAGATGGCTAGCTTTAGTTGGATAAAAGGAGAGGGCAAGAGTGTTTAAGGAGGAAATTAACCTTTGCTTTATTGATGCAGCAAGGCCTTTGATCACATAGATCATGCCAGAAACTGAAATATATTAAGATTATGGATGTGCATTCAAGATTTCATTCAGAAATATCTTGAATGAGAAACTACTAAAAGAGATGAATTTGGAAAAATGTTATAGAATGCTTCGGAAAAAAAAAAAGGAAATAAGACAGGAAACCATTAATCTCGAAATCTGTTTATAATACGGCCAAGGTAAACATGGCAGAATTGGAAGAAATTGAATCAAATGGGAGACTTTCAGCCAGATTTAGAGGATAGAGGTTTATCCTAGACCTTAAGAAGAACTAATTGATTGATTTTGGACAAAAACAAAGTGGGTGGGTTAACTGTTCCTTTGAGAAAATGATCAACAGCTAGAAATTCAAATATTTAGAGCATCTGATGCAAATGGAGGATGAAAAGTGGAAAATGGAGTAGAAAAAAGCAAGATTGAGAGAAGTAAAAAAAAAAGATAAATATAATGAACAAAGTAAATGAATGGAATCAAGGAATGTCATTAGAAAACTATGCATATTCACTAGAGTCATATGATTGGCCGGGTCAGAATCCCATTTAATGGCTATAAACTAAATTTGGACATGAGGTTCTGAGAAGGAAATTAAGGAAATATTAGACAGACCCAGGATGCAACCCAGTCATTCTCTTTGATTCATGATTCTTGCTTAATGAGCAGCTGGCAATAATGACTAGGAGGGAATTTGCACAGTTTTGTCTTATGTATCAGTCTGCCTGTTGCCCTGCTAAGAATCTCTCATGCCAGATTGGACTACTACAACTGCACTCTACATAGAGATGCCCTTGAAAAATATCTGGAAGCTTCAACTGATACAGAACAGAGCAGCATGGACAGTTATGTGCACTCCTAGAATACTAAGGCCATTCGTTGCCTATTTGCTTCTGGGTCTGATTCAAAGAGAGGAAGAAAGGAAGGGAGGGAGGGAGGAAGGCATACAGCTTTCATATATGCAGAAAAGTTCTATCTGCTGGAAAAATCAGACAAAAATACTTTTCACTTGGAAGTCAGTGATATGCATTGAGAATAAAAACCACGACATTTCTTCATGGCAAGACGAACAATTCTCTCTTGGGTTGCCATTTTGAGCAGCAGCTCTATGTCTGGGGTGACGAATGTTTTATGTATTCTTGGCATCTGCCATTTCCTATCTCCACTAAAACTGCATTGTGCATGATTTAAAACAGGCAATTTTTTTAATCACATAAAGCCAAATTCATCATAGAAAGAAAACAAAAATTTAGCTCAAAAAAAAAGGCTGCTTCTCATTATCTAATTGGTTGTGCTTGCTGGTATTTTAGCTCTGCTTCAAACAAAACTGTTCCATTACAGATATATTTTAAACAGTAAAATAATCTATCTTTTGTATAAAATAAATAAATAAAGCATTTGCCTTTTGTTTCCCCATCCTGCAACTATTAAGCAATATAAAATTAATGACTGAATTATGAGGGAAAAGAGAAGTTATTCATGAATTATCTCTGATTTCCTGTAAAGTTAAAATGTTAAAATTTAAAGAGGAAAAGACCTAGGAGCCCTTTGATCTCATTTTTAATTCAAATATTTTGTTTGGGCAGACATCAAGTTCCTAAAGTTATTTTGAGCATGCTCAGATCTCTTTATTGCAAAGACAATATCAAATCTCATTGTAACAAATGAACATGCTCTTGTCATTGCCCCTAGTTTCCACTATCTCCTTCCAATTCCTAAATTTGCCAAACAACAACTTTAGTGATGAGATGGAATTCTCATGAATAGAATGATAGTAATTAGGTTTCCATCTTGACATCCTACATGGGACTCCTTTTGGCTTGTGAACTTTTCTCCTTTGAGGAAATGGGCAGAATGTGGCCTAGATTGTCCTCTGCATTTCTTCAAGGCAGATATAGCAAAATCCCTGCGGCTGAGCGTATTTGCCCATGTGTGATAGGGAGATTGAAAACTTCTCACATATTATAAATTTTACAGAAATTAGAATGATTAGCTCAATCTATACATTGTACCTCTAGTAGATAAATTCTTCTTTTGCGATTATATTCTAATTTAAATACATAAGAAGACCAAACATATTTAGAGTTACAACAGGACCAAATTTCTTTTGGTCGTTTAATATCTTGCATCATGCCCAGTCACAATGAACACATTCAATTCTGTATATCTTTTTTGCCACGCTTTCTCCCAACCCATTTCCCAATTAAGCAGCAGGGAGTAAACTTTTGTACATGACATTTAATTTTCAATAACTGTGTAAAAGGAAAAGGAGGCTGGAAGCAAGATCATTAATCATCCAGTCTTGGAATAAAAAGCGGAGAGGGTTTATTTTAATAGTACTGCTTTTCCTTTGTAGTCATGAGTTTAGCCATAGTAGAGTTTAAGATTTAACTATATATTAAGATATATTTCAAAACAAACATATGGTGTAAACATTAACTCAGCAACATTATTCTTTGTTCAGTATTAAAATCTGAGTATTGGAAAGAGACTCAGAAACAGCCCTCTTCCATTATTTTTCTTCCAAACAAGAAATAAAACTAGCACTGATGATGTTACCTAATTTGGCTAATGAAATGTCTGCAAGAAAACAAATAAGCTCAGAGAGCAACCCCTTAGTTCAATCCTGAGCTACTAACATTCTCCTTTATAAAAAACAAAACATGTATAGACTAGCCTTCAACAACTGGTTGGTAGGTCCAACACATCTGAAAGTATCAGGTAAGAGAAGAATGGCTGTTTTGATCTTTTCCTAAAAAAGAGTATCTAATTCTGGCTAAAAACCACATACACAATACAAAATAAATAAATAAATAAATGTACTTTTCCTCAGGGTTTTTTGTGTTTTTCTTCAACTGCAAGCCACTCAGAGTTGTTACAACATGTAACAGTTAAAACACATATGGTAGAATAATGTAAATGACAATAAAAATAGAAGATTGTTTACTTAAATAAGTAAATAAAATTATAATATGACACAATCTATTAAATCAAGAAAATCCCCTCAAAATAAATTGGATTTTAACATCAATCCACCAGACATGTGGCTAGTCTGATCTCCATGAGGAGGTTATTCCAGAATGTGCTGGCACCATACCTCCAACACTGGAGGCTTTTAAGAAGGGACTGGACAACCATTTGTCAAAAATGAGATAGGGTCTCCTGCTTAAGCAGGGGGTTGGACTAGAAGACCTTCAAGGTCTCTTCCAACTCTGCTATTCTGTTATTCTCACCATCATGGGCTCCTTCACTTCACAGAAGTATGGGACCACTAGCACCTGCTGCCTACGAGATCTAATGGACCAAGACAATCCTGGTGAAGGTGAAAGTTCTGGAGAAGGTGCTTCTGCAGATACACAGCTAAGTCTTGAATGGCTTCAAAGATCAACAGCATCACCTTAAATTATCTAGAAACTGGTGTGCGTGCGCATACCCACGAACAACTTAACACTTTCTTAATAGTTTCAAAAATAGAGAGGGTAAATCCAGCTGTTTACTTATTTCTCCATCAAAGAAGCTTTTTTTGAGAATCCTATTTTGAAGACAGCGAAGTCCACATTTTGGACAAAATGGTTTGCAATAGGGGTAATATATGTCAAAATTAAACAGCCGTCTCTCAACAGAAGGGAAGGGATACAACATCATCTATCACCAGTCCAGTACACAGTCCTTTCAACAGTTCCAAGAAGCCTCCACACCCATTTGCACTACTCAGGTGACCCTGATGACCCTGATAAACTACCAGCTGGCCTCAATGACTCGCTAAAACATGGGTGTCAAACTCACGGCATCATATTGCTGTCACATGACATGTCACGACTTTTTTCCCTTTGCGGAGCTGGGGTGGGCGTAGCCTGCGTGTGACGTATTCGATCCACAAGCTGCCAGTTTGACACCCCTGCACTAAAAGAATGCAACTGACCAGCTGTCTGCAAGGAATATAAATCCTTCCATTCCCATCCACTCAGAGCTGAAGAAGTTTCTTAGATGAGAACGAAATGTCTTCAAAGAAAAACACAAAAGTCCAACTGCCTCCTGAAAAAGCACCTTTGGGATGTATTGAAATGTTATATTCCTTTACTACAATTGGCCTGAACACATTATTAACCACAGTTATTCTTCCTCCGCTTTTTCTTCTTTTCTAAAGTACAGTTGCATGATGAAGAATTCTTCAAATTCAAAAGCTTGACTGTGCAATCCTCAATTAGCCTAATGAAGTTACTGCCTCAAATTAATTTCTCACTTTTTTCTCTGCATAGCTAATATCACTTAGCTTAGCCTTCACTTTTGGTACAAAATAGTTACAAAACGCATTGTAAGCCGCCCTGAGTCTCCGGAGAAGGGAGGCATATAAATCAAATTAAAAAAAAACAAAACATTTAAATATTTTGCCCTTGACTAAACATGTTAGTAGCTTTCAGCTTTATGACAATACCGAATCTTTTATTTCTCACTTCCCAGTTCAGGCCATTAATTCTTGACCTCATCAAGCTCAACTGTTAATGATTATCATTCTTACCGTATAAATACCAGTTTGACCTTTGATGGTGCCGTCTTAATTATTGCAGAAGCATTCTGGTGACTTCTCCCATACAAAATCTGGTTATTTATCTGTTTTGTAAAGAACATTTAGCACAGTTACCAATTAAAAAGAAACAAAAGGTCCACTATTACTTTGTAATTTTATTACATTGGATAGCTCTCCCTCCCTTTCTCTAAATCTTATTTTGAGTTACAGCCAAAAATAAAGAAAAGCAAAAGGGCAAGGTGGATGAAGAGACTGTAATTTCTTCCTTGAAAAACAGGATGTTTCTGGGTTTTTTTGGTTTTTAAAGCATTACATTAACCAATCATGTGAATAATGCTGATAATCAACAGGAAATAATTATGTCATTGCTATAATTTGGGGAGTAAGATTGATTGCATCAACATAATTTGGGGCATATGCAACTTCAAACAATATTATTGAATGTATTAGAAATGCTGCAGAATAAAGGAGATTTAAATCTACAATCCAGGAACCTATTATATTAAGTCAAGCCATATTGGAGCTTTACCTTAGTTTACAATTTTCCTTTCTAAAGCCACAGATCAGCATTACAGAAGAGATGTAAGCACACCAGCAGTTTTATTAAGACAATGAGTACAAATACACAAAAGGCAAAAAAATAATTAAGGCTAATCTTTTTCAAGGCATCTGCTTAGAAATTTGAGAATGGCAGAATTCCATGCAAAGCAAGTTTTAACTTTTAGCTGTGTCTTTGCAAACACTCTCAGGTATGCTAGCTGCTTTAAAAAATTCTATTTCTTGTACAATTAAATTTCTGAGAGAGAGAAAGAGAGAGCACACACAAAATGATTGATTTAATGGCCCTATTCCCATGCAAGATGTATATTTGCATATTATGCATTTTATGACACTGTCAAGATTAATAAATGTATTGGGATGTTAGTTGCTACAAAGATGGCTTTATACATGGGAAGTAACAAATCTAGGAATGGAAATTTAAAGAAATTAAGGCTATTTGTTGTAGCAAAATTAAAAAAATATAAGTTGGAAAATATCATTTTCTATAGACCGAAGTCAGACAGAGCCCGAAAATCAAATATTGCGGTTATTTTTTATAGCTAGAAGCGCTGGGAAAATGTGTTAAAAACTGAATTGGACTGTAATTTTAAAATAAATTAGTGATGAAAGTGGGGAATTACATAAAATTAATTGCTCGATACATTGCATACATTTTTGTAAAGATGATTCTTTTAAAGACTTCTTTCTAAGGTCTGAGTTGTGCCTTTTTAAATGTAAGCAAAAATCCTTTCACTGAAATTTTCTCATGTACCTATGCCAAAGGTATAAGCCAGGGGTGTCAAACTCGCGGCGTCACATTGTGGTCACATGATGTATCGTGACTTCCCCCCCTTCACTAAACAGAGGTGGGCGTGGCCAACGCATGACACATCCATCCCATGGGCCGCAAATTTGACACCCCTGGTATAAGCCAAACATGCTGTTCATTTTCAACAGTCAAACCTGATGTCACAGATTGGCACATTAAGCAGCTGCAAACTCTCAGGTGTAGATTTAATCAAATACAGGTAGTCCTCAACTTATGACCAGAGTGGAGCCCAAAATTTATGTTGCTAAATGAGAAATTTATTAAGTGAGTTTTGCCCTATTTTATTACTTTTCTTGCCACATTTGTTAAGTGAATCGCTGCGTTTGTTAAATTAGTAATATGGTTATTAATTGAATCTGGTTTCCCCATTGACTTTGCTTATCAGACGGTTGCAAAAGGGGAGCACATGATTCCCAGAAAACTGCAACAATCCTAAATGTGAGTCAGTTGTCAAGTGTCTGAATTTTGATCAGATGACCATGGGGATGCTGCAATGGTCATTAAGCGTGAAAAATGGTCATAAGTCCCTCTTGTCAATGCCGTTGTAACTTTGAAGAGTCACTAAATGAACTGTTGTTTGTCGAGGACTACCTGTGATGCTTCCAATGAAAAGTCAGAAAGTTTGATCTTTATTGGCAGGATGCAGAGCTACTTTATTGCTAATTGTATAAACTGTGAATATGTGTCCCTAAAACATGAGTACCCACACACAGAGCATGATGTGGTTTCTTCTGAGAAAATAAAAGCTCAAGCACTTTGACATTTCTTGCAGGCTTCATGGAAGAATGAACTATTGTTTATTCTAATACAAAATCTACTGATTTAGAGGCAAGTGAAATGCAGGTAAATAGGAAAAAGAAACAGCAAAGTTCAACAGGAAATAAGATCAATGAATGAAACAGAGTGGCCAAATTATGAACAAAAATTAAAAACATTATTTAACCTAGACAGTTCCAATTGTAAGCAACAATTTTAGAGCAGATGGCATCATAAATATTTCGCTGAAGGGGGATGTGGCATGTAAGATAATGAAAACTAATAGGTGAAATTTAAGGAAGAGGATGTTATGGTTGTTTCCTGAAGGGAGTTCTATTAGTCTGAAAAAATTTTTCCTACTAAACTGTTTGCTTTCCTTTTCTAAAACTACTTAGCTTAAACTGGGCACTCAAGGTTAACTCTTGATTTCTGATTATTTTTAGTCTTATGTTTTTCAAGAATGTTTACATTTCATTAATATTACTTTCATCCCCTGGAGAAAATTTAAGCAAGAATTAATATTCTGCCCTCTAAAATTAATCTTATAAATGCTTTGTAAATGAATTATGTATCATTAACTGGTTTTTAAAACAGGTTGATTTAATTACTTAATTACAGTAGTCAAAAACAGAAGAGTATAGACAAATAACTTGGAGGAGAAGCATTAAATAAGATAATTAATTATTACATTACTATTATTGTTATTGTTCTCTTATTTTAATACTTTTTCTTTGAAATAATAATAATAGTTTGCAATGAATCAGTATGACTGCCTATTGTTGTAACCCACAAGTTAAAATTCTGCTAATGCAGAAATATAAGAGGAGTTTATATGTCAGGGAATTTCTTTGAAGAAAGTAGGTTAGATATGTTGGTGGTCCCACGATATTTTATCCTGCCTCTTGCAAATTCGTTTATTTATTTATTAGATTTGTGTGTCATCCATTTTGTCTAGATCGATGTAAATGAAAGCTTTTCTCAATATTCTACAGTATATGTTGTTTATCCATGCTTATTCACAGCACAAATGAGGTCATTTTAATATTGTTCTGGTTCTGAAAAGGAAGTTTAAGACATTTATTAAAAAGCAACTGAGCTGCAAAATCAAGTTTTCCCGAGAAATGTCTAATTTAAGGCTGTGGTAGGATTCAGCTGGTTTGCACAAGTGGTGGGATTCAGCTGATTCGCTTGAACCAGTAGCTAAGTTTTTCTTGAGTTTGGCGAACCGGCCGAAGTGAGGGGCATGAAGCCCTGCCATGCCCGATGAGGGGGGCAGAAGAGACAGCAAGAGGAGCCCTGTATCGCTCCACACAACCTAATGAAAGGCAGTGGCAGCCTGGCCACTTCCCTTCCCTGCCCTCTCCGGCACTGGAAGCCGACTGTCAGCCACATGCCAGTCAACCATTTGTATCTCTCCCCCCCCCGTCTCTTTCTCTTTCTCTCTCTTTCTGGGCTCACCTGGTGCCATAGTCCACCATGCAGGCCAGGAGCGGCCCTGCCATCCTCCATGGATTTGAGACACCACTGAGGAAATGTGCCAATAACCCTGCGGGCCTCTCTCTCTCTCCTCCTTCCACCACTTCCCAGATGCCCTCGCTTCCCCCAAGAAAGGTGGCCAAAGAAAGAGGATTCCATCACATGCTAAATGTGGTAATTAAACCATGGCCATCTCCTAAGTTGCCATCTCTGTCACTGGATAAAGCAGGAGGGTGACTCAAGGCAGCGAGCACCTCCAGCCCCAACGAAGTGAAAGAAGAAGAAATACGAGAGCAGTGCCCTCCTGCGTCTCTTTTCTGCCCCTGAACAATGTGCTTCTCCTAAAGGCCTCTGGTTTGATGCACCCGCCTGCTCTGCCTCTTTCTGCGGTGCCCCTCCCATGACCGCATTCAGGGACAGAGCAAGCGACAGAATGGCAATAAAATTTGTGTTTTGCGAATACCCCACTCGGTGGCATTTGTCATGGACTGAGGAGGTGTCTTCCTGAGAGAGGCATAAAAAGCAATGGCTGCCCATCTTGAAGGAGGTAATTATGCCCAAGCCAGAAAGAGTGCCTTCCTCTTCCAAGGTGCTTCCCTTTGCCAAGTGCTGAGAAGGGGCGAGAAGGGTCTGGTGGGCCTGGCCACTCCCCAGCTGCCAGTAGCCACTTGTGGCAAAAGCTCATGGGAAAGCCATAGGGGCTCCCCGACCCAGGAAAGGGCTCCCCTTCTTTACTGCCAGCCAAATATTGATGGACTCATCCCTGCTGCAAAGCAGAAAGCCCTGCCTGGGCAGAAGAGCCCAAGCTCCACAGAACTCCCATCTCGCTGCATTTTCCCATCAAATCTCTAATTTGAGAAAGGCAGTCCTTAGCACTCACTGACCTTTCCATTGTTGCCCCCCCTTAATCAAGTCTCTCCTGTAAATCAAATGGAGCCCCCTGCAGAACAGACTCCCCAGGTGCCAGGTCCAGGCACAGATGGGCAGGGCAAGCTCTGTGGCATAGAAATAGAGCGGCCAGCGTGAGGGAAGGAGGAGGCCGTTTTCCTTTTTCCCCTGTTCCTCCTCCTTTCCTCATGCTGGCTGCTCCATTTCCCATTTCTCCATTGCAGCGCAGTGCCCAGGATTCTGTGAATGAGATTTCACACAACCAGAGCTGAAAAACAACTTAGTTTACGTAGGTAAAACCTGGCTAGAAAGAATATGCACATAAAAGCCTACGAAAAAGAAAAAGACATATATATATATATATTTATTTAACAACCGGTTTGCCCAGCATCAGGTTGGCCATCGCGGGAGACTTGTCCTACATGTGCGGAGGACAGGGATGGGCCATGCTTCCCACAATGACCAACCTGACCCTGGGTGAACTGTTTGTTAACTGGTTGTTAAAATAATTTAACAACCAGTTAAGGCTATTTGAAGATAACCTAGTGTTAGTTTTGGAAGATCCTCTAAAGGAGGACTGTCAAACTCCCGGCT